TTAAAATAATATAATTTAGCTATTGTGTCTGCGTTGAGACAATTCTTTTTTTTAAAAAACGTTGCGCCACTCTTGTATTTTCTCATATGTCGTGGGTGCGGTTACAAACATACAATTTCACATAAGTACATCACACCCCGACCCGGAACGACAATTTGTGGATTACACAAAGAGTTGTTCGTGGGAACCGAAGCATCGCAGCCAGTTGCCCAGCCACTGCGCCAACCGTACAGTCAATTTATTTGACTGTACTTTCTGCTTTTAAAATTATAAGTAACCTGAAAAAATATTTGATAGGTATTCAACCTTATCTATGTCACAATAAAATTGTTTGTCATAGAAAACAAAATATACTCACTCCTCTGGAGTTAGAAATTAAGAATTTATGTTTACCTATTATGAAATTAAATAGTATTTAAAAAAAATATACAACATAAGAATACGTGCAAAAATCTAATATTTTTATATTTATGATAATATGTATGAATATAAAGTATACCTATTAGAAATATGAATAGCTTAAACTTGCCGAGAAAACAAAAAAATCAAGATTAACTTGTCTCTGCATTCTTCACACATATGGGTACGATATTGGATACTAATTACAGTATAAGTAAAACTGTAAAACAATAAATTTATTTCAAAAGAGTAACGATGGAGTTTCTTGCTCGTTCTTCTCCATTCGAATCTACAATTTTGAACGAGCACCTAGCTTCACTGACGAACTGACTGACAGACTACTATTCTGTTTTGACGTTTCAAAAGTACCTATTTATGGTTTAGTTGGAATAAATATCTTTGACTTATAAGAAAAGTGGGTAGTCGGTACTAAAAGTACCTACAATGCGTATTGAACAGACTGAGAATGAAAAAATGTGTTACGATATTTGTTGCTGATGAACTTTAGCATTCGCTTGTAAAGAACATTGTTTCGAATGTAAAGTTATAGAAAAATGAAACGGCGTCATCTAGCGGGTATTTTAAAAGATGGACTAGGAACCATAGTGAAAAAAACCACAGACAATTGAATTTCAGTAAGGCCTTTTTTGTGAGGGGAATTTCAGTAAGAGCTGGATTTTCAATAGTTACTTAATAGTTATCTGGAGAATAGTTATGATGCTGTCGCGTCAGAATGTTTGTATAAGACAGTGACAGAAACAATTTTATTCCTCAGATAACATTTATCTGACTATTGAAAATTTGAAAAATCAGCCCTAAGTATCTATCTAAAAATGACGATAATTTTTTTCGTGCTTTCGTTATTTGTTTTGACCTTATAGATACTTAATTAACGTTTTAAAAGTAACGGTAAACGGGTGCGTGCTTCAAAAGTTTCATTAACGCCCGGTTCCTATAATTGAGAAACGATCCGTTTTAATCACGAATAGTAGTTTTACATACGACTCGTAAGCTAAAACCGTTCCTATTATAAACGTCTCGTCGTGCAACTTACTGATGGTTTGCAACTAACGGATATTGGTAAGCGAATTGTATGGAGATCTGGTTGTCTGGCTGGTTGATTATAGAGGTGTCTGTGGTTTTCCTATAAATATTTTAACCGTCAGTAGACGGTCAAGATAACTATTCGTAATGTCATTTGATCGTAATGCGTATACAACGACGATTCGTTAAATATAGGAACCGGGCATTAGTTGGTCATTCATACATTTGATTTTAGAATTAAATTATTTCCAGCATTTTCTTTTTCAGAAACAAGTGCCAGTGCATTTTTTAGAAAAACATTATGTCGTCATATACTTTAAATTTTTTTGATATTTCGTTGAAAGTCTTGAATTTGACTAAATAGTTGTATTGGAAACTACCGGATTTAGTAATCTCGTAAAAAATTATTATTATGAAGCGTAGAAATATATCTTTTTAAACGTTTTAAAAATAGCGGTATTTAATTTGATTAGTCTAGTCTTGTCAGCATATTTAACTTCGCTATACTTTTTCACTCATGAAAAGGGTGGTTGCATTGTGCGTGGCTTTATGCTTGGCTCGGCTCATTGTTGAGGGGCCCGAATCTACTATTTTCAAAGTGTTGTCATTCCTACACGATTCCATTGTCATATTGCTAAAAGTTCGTAATTTGTTAATTCAAAATGGCTGATCATTGGCCTTCGGCGATGTCGTAATATAATTATAGTACGAGATGTCTTATAACGAATTATAAACAATAACTGCACATTAATATTCTAAATCATTGAATAAAGGAACTGTCATTTTTTTATTAATTTACCGCATTATGTGAAATATAAATTTGTCATTATGTACGAGATTACTGTTCTAAAGAATTATTTCAATGAAGTGGCATTGGAAAGTCATAATGACGCTATCGTGTTAGTAGATTACCAAACTTGTCAAAATCAACAATTTTGAAACCAATGATCTACTATTCTGGCACTATTGTAATAGCAGACGCGAGGCCCTGTTCGACTATAATGGCGACTTATAAATGTTCTGAAACAAGTGACTGCTAAGGTCTGCACATTACGCAAGCTCTGTGATGGTAATATACATTATAAAAATGTGATTAGGACCAAAGAAATCGATTGTTTTTTAAAATATTATATTCCATTTTTATTTTTATTGTTATATATGTGATAGCATACCTACTCGAAAGCCGTCAGAATTTTTCTTTGTAATAAAGAAAGTATAATGTATCTACATAGAGATTATACTATGTAACAATTGATAATTTATTTTTAAATAAATAATACGTTATTCTGAATGTTTTAAAGCGTCGTAGGTTGGTAAGATTATTTAATTTTAAATGGTTTTGATTAATTTTATTTTTGTAAAATGATTACGATTATATTTGTTTTTTTTTTTAAATTATATTATGGTAAAATTTCTATTGTTGTTTTTTTATTAGTCAAGTAGTGGTAAGGAAGTCTGTCGTATGCAATGACGTATTATATATAGACACGTCATGAACCAACATCGCGGCGCTTAAAAACGGCGAAAATACTAGATAACTACTTCTACGAGTAAAGAAAGGGAAAGAAAATATGACATCGTATAGTGGAATGCCTTTGCTAGAGGGAGATAAATATACATCTTCAGTTATGCCGACGTCACGTGACTATACCTTCATGCGCCGGCCGCCATAAGATGGCGGGCGCCGGCGTCGAAAAAAATAAAATAAAAATAGGTTGTTTGGTGAACTTACGCATGAAATGACACATTTTTGTCTTTAACTTTTGGAGTATAATTTGTACATCGTCTGAACACACACGACGACATGCTATCTTTATGTTTCAAACAGGTTTACACACGATATAAATTAAAAACAAACGTAGCGTCGCGCGGCAGGTTGGTGCGTAACTAAGCGCGATGTGGTCAATTGCCTTCATTTCATGTTGTCATTTTAGAGCGCGGACAACGTATCTATAGTTTTATACATCATTGGTCGTATGAGACTATTTTTCCTTTCACGGGCGGCGGCGACGACCTCTCCCGCCTAGCCTTAGTCGAGGCCAAAGACTACAATATAATATAGGTGGTCGACGGAGCTTGGAGCGGAGCGGAGTGACAGAAACTGAAGCCGTCTCATCTTTCAACGAAGTAGTGATGCAAGCCCAATCTAGCAAATACTGATGCGACTTTGTATAATATGTAATGTTTATGATTATTAAGACAACACTAACATACAGCGAGGAAAATGTAGTAAAGAAACCTGACTTGAGTTTCTAACTATAAGTTTGAAATCGCCAATCCGCCTTGCAACCTGGGGAATAATGTTCAAATCTTTTCCTCACGATGTTTACCTTCACCGTATGTCAGTGGTGTCCAAATAATCATAGAAAGTACATATAACTCGGAAAAAGACACATTGGTACTTGCCAAGCTTCGAACCCACACCCTCATGCATGAGAAGCGGGCTCCTTAACCTCCGTGCCACCACGACATTCAATTAATAATCTATTTAAAAGAAAGTCGTGTTAGTCGTAGTAATCTATTTATAACTCAAGAACTGCTGAACCGATTTGGCTGAAAATTCGCAGGGATTTAGCTAAGAACTGGGAGAAGGACATAGGATAGGAGAATAGAGTAGATGTGTAGGTTAGGTAGAGTAGGGTAGGTAGTCAAATGTCAGGAGCGACGCCGCGGGTAAGAGCTAGTAATTATTAAAATGAAATGTCTCAGAACTGTTTTTACTTTCTGTATTAATAAACGAATCACCTGGTGGTAAGCTATTGGTATCCGCTGGCAACACCCGGGGGGGGGGGGATTATATAGGGATTTGAGGTATGGCGAAAAAGGGTGGGGGTGATTGGGCAGTGGTGATGTTTGACTTGTTATAGAAGAAGTCTGATGCTTTGACTGACCCGACAAGGGGCATCAACTTTTGGGCTGTAGCCCAGGGCCTCATTAAAGTGAAGGGGTTGCACCCCTCTTGTTAATAATAGACGATATCAATATCAGTAAAAAAAAAACTTTTTTTAGTAATTAAGTAGGTAAGTAATTTTTTTTTCTAAACAAATGAATGTATCAGGGCAATATATTACTTTTTTCGAAAAATATGATTTAGATTAACTAAAACAGTGCCAACTATTGTTGTTAGTTCTTGTTAAGTACTTGTAAGTGCACACAGCGTATGTTTAATGGTACAGAAAAAACAAAATTAAAACACGCGATTAATTTTAATCTCACGTCTCATTCACACGTTTAATTTAGGTAGTCTTCTAATATAGATTAATTTTGGCATAATATAGGCAATGATCAACTTCCATAATGTACTATCTTCAGAAGTGGGTGTAAAATAAATTCAGAGTTTTTATTACATTGATTAATATAGCTGAGGTAAAATCTAAAAAAGCGTTTTAAGAATGCAAACATTTTACATCGAAGTAAAAATGGTTTAAATGTAATACAAGAGAAGGCCATCATTAAAAATCGACTAAAAGGGGATCTCACTAGTAAAAACCGTACTTTATGAAACTGACAACAAGCAATCGAAAATACACCACTATTTGAAAAAAGCTACTTTGTTGTTGTTTTGTTGTGATCGGAATTTTCAATATTGTATATATCCGAAATAATAAACAAAAATGAATGGAAAAGATAGTTTTAACGTATCCAATATGATGACTATATGTCGGACTTGCCTTAAAGTGCCACGAGAAGTTTTCCCGATGACTATTACAGAACTAAATACGTACAAAAGTCTTACTAGGAAGGTTAGTCCTGTGATTTGTCTATTATTTATAAAGTTTTATTTAAATACAGTTTTTATTCGTGTGAAAGGTATCCTATATCCTTCACCGTACTCCTAACTGTATTTACGCAAAATTTAAACTAGATTTTGTGACTAAATAAAGCGTAAAATATATAAAACGCTTCTTCGCGCAGTCCGCAACGATATTTTGTTAAGTATGGTATAGGTCGGTAAACGAATAGACGGTTTACCTGATGGTGAGCAAACAACGCTGCCCATGGACACCCGCAACACCGAAGGAGATACGAGTGCATTAACAGCCTTTAGGGAATATTAAATATCCGAAACCCTTATCCTTATATTGGGAAGGATGTGGAGAGGGTAGGAATTGGCCTTCCGGTAACCTCACTCACACGGCGAAACAAAGCGCTGTGGTTGTTTCACGCCAGTTTTTGGTGTGGCCATGGTGTCAGTCCGGTCGAGCTGACTCATGTGTGCAGAAGCTTGGCTCTACCACAAAATTTGGTATTTAGTATGTAGGTGTGAAAATGAAGATTAATTCAGTAAGGAGACATTATCTATAGTTACACGCAAATCAAAAATAATTTATAGCCTATAGCACTCAGGAATATTGTAGCTTTCTATCAGTGAAAGAATTTTGGAACTCCCACCAGTAGTTCCAAAGATTGTCCCTTACATACAAACTTATAAACTTTATCTCTTCATGATATTAGTATAGGATATTTATTTCATTTTATTTCAGGTTGTCGGTTCAGATGAGAAGCTAAATATTTGTATACTTTGTAAATGGATTTTGCGAAAATGTTTCAAGTTTACTCAACAGTGCCTGGAAGTTGATGAAATACTGAAAAATGTAATCGCACAGGTTTGTGGTTTTAATAATTGTCTATTTTTAATTTTTTGGGTCGGCTATACCAGTGTTTTTTTATGGTATATGTTGGCAAACAAGCATACATATTACCTGATGGTAAGCAATCCCATGGACACCCGCAACACTAAAAAAGTTACGATTGCGTTGTCGGCCTTATAGGGATAAAGGTTTCGGATATTTATTAAGGATTGGGAATGGATGGGTGGAGGGGTGGGATTGGGCCTCCGTTAACCTCATTCTCACAACACTGTGGTTGTTTCACTCCGGTTTTCTATGAGGCTGTGGTATCACTCTGGTCAAGCCAACCCAATCGCGCCAAAAAATTGCTCTCCCACATCTCCCCCCATCCCACCCCAAACTCTTAATCTCCAAGACCCTAATCCACAAAAGGATGGCAACTTACTTGTTACTCCTCATTGTTGCGGTTGTCCATGGGCGACGCTGATTGCTTACGATCAGGTAATCTGCCTGGGTGGTTTGCAGTCCCTTCACACAAACAAAAAAAAATATTAGAAAAAAATATAGGTAGTCTCTTTTATGTTTACAATAATACAGAATTACGAATGCAAAGAAGTGACAAATAAGGCAATAAATAATACATTTTGCACTGCAAGAATAAAATTTTCTATATTTTTTTTTTTTTTTATTAAGCTTGTAACACAGCATAATATTTTTTGTTTCTTAATTTTTTTTAATATTCTTTTCATTTTCTTTTTTGTTAAATAATAATTGCATTGTCTCTTAAACGCTTTTTTCTACAGCAAAATAAACAAACAAAAAATAAACTCCTATTTTAACATTTTCAGAATACAAAACTACATAACATACAACATAATATATCTTTAAACCTACAACAATCAACTACACAGCTACACTACATAGGACCAGAATATGAGGAACAGACAGACAGACAGACACACGACGCTACTTTTTACGAAGGTGATGAATATACAGCTAATAATGATGACATCGGTGATGACGATGATGATGACGAAATACCACTAGTAATGCTGCAAGATGATGTCAAGAGTAAAAGAAGATCCAGTTATGAGGTAATTTTAGACCATTGCTCACTTTGACTCCAATCCCCAAAACCCCCAACGGTAAATCACTAAAAGGCCAATAAATCTCTAATAGCCCATAAAAGGCCAGTAAATGTCTAATAACCCATAAAAGGCCATTAAATCTCTAATAACCCATAAAAGGCCAGTAAATCTCTAACAACCCATAAAAGGCCAGTAAATCTCTAATAACCCATTAAAGACCAGTAAATCTCTAATAACCCATTAAATACCAGTAAATCTCTAATAACCCATTAAAGACCAGTAAATCTCTAATAACCCATTAAAGACCAGTAAATCTCTAATAACCCATTAAAGACCAGTAAATCTCTAATAACCCATAAAAGGCCAGTAAACCTCTAATAACCCATAAAAGGTCAGTATATTTCTAATAACCCATAAAAGGCTACTAAATCTATAATAACCCATTAAAGGCCAGTAAATCTTTTTGTACCCATACACACCAAAAGAAGTTACTTACGTACTGGTTACTAGCAAGTGCGTTTCTGGCCTTTTGCCACCAATGGAGTGGCGCCGATTGCTTCATCAGCCTATAAGGTTCTAGCGCCCACTGCTGAGCAAAGGCGTCTTCTCTCGGATTGGCGATTTCAAACTTATAATTGGAAATTATTAGGCCAGATCACAATGTTTTCCTTCACCGTATGTCAGTGGTGTCTAAATATCTAGGAAAGTACATATAACTCGGTAAAAGTCACATTGGTACTTGTCAGGTTTCGAAACCGCACTCTCGTGCATGTTAGCCGGGACACCATGACTTACTTGTCGATTGCTTACCATCAGGTTATCCTTCTAAACATTTTCTAACCCATCGCAAAAAAAATATATTACTTAGTGTTTTTTAACTATATTCCTTTTAATTATTTATTACAGCCATCCCCACAAGAGATAGAGATCAAACTAGAACCGATACTCAAAGAGGAGTTTGAAGAAGAAATTCCCATTAAAGAGAGAAGTAAGAGAAAGAGAAAGAAAGAGATGAGAGAAGGTTTCTCCTCTCGAATGGTTCAGGAGACGGACGAGTACGTTGTTATCAAACTTAGCAAGGAAGAGGTCAGTTATAATCTGTTTTGTTCAAATTGAGGGTAAGCAGGAATGTTGGTTATAGCTCATTTATGTTTCTTTTTATAGTATACTAGCTACTCTCGAGCGGTTTCACCCGCTACTCGGCTCCATTTGATCGTAGCGTGATGTTTTATAGCCTATAGCACTCAGGAACATTGTAGCTATCCATCAGTGAAAGAATTTTGGCAATCCGACCAGCAGTTCCAAAGATTACCCCCTACATACAAACATACAAACTTACAAATTTTACCTCTTTATAATATTAGTATAGAAGTCGGCAAACGAGCAAACGGATTACCTGATGGTCAGCAATCAACGCCGCCCATGGACACCTGCAACACAAAAGGAGTTACGAGTGCGTTCGGCTTTTTGCGGATAGGAGTTGCGGATATAAGGATCGGGAAGGGATAGGGGAACGGGAACATTTGGGCCTCAAGTAACCTCACACCAACCGGCACGAATGGGTCGGCTCGACCCAAGTGATACCAGAACCTCCCAGAAAATCGACGTGAAACAACCACAGCGTTGTGTTTCACCGTGTGAGTGAGGGAGGCTCTTCAATCTCAATATCTCTAAATCCCCAAAACGTCGGTAACGCATTCGTAACTCCTCCGTTGTTGTCCATGGGCGTCGCTGATTGCTTACCATCAGGTAATCCGTCTGCTCGTTTGCCGACCTATCACACAGTAAAAAGAGTTATGAGATTAAAGTTTGAGAGAATTTATGGATGTATGTTTGTTATACTCTCACTCACAAACGGCTGGATCGATTTGGTTGAAATTTGTTATGTAGATAGGTTGATATCTTACTAGTACTTACTACTAGTTTTTTATTAACATTCTTTGCAGGCGAAACCGCGGGCGTTAGCTAGGTTAATTATAAATATAGGTACGAACTTAATTTTTTTTTTCATTTCTAGGTGTTATCAGAATTAGCTGAAAAAGCCAAATCCGATTCGTATATCAGGTCACCGTATAAATGTGAACACTGTGTTAAGGGATTTAATTTTGAAGACGTACTGCAGACCCATATGGAGAGACATAAACAGGTTAGATTCTCATCATCATCATCATCATCATCATCATCATCATCATCATCATCAGCCTATAAGTGCCCACTGCTGAGCAAAGGCCTCTTATCACACGGAGAAGGTTTGAGCTTACACCACGCTTGCTCAATGTGGATTGTCGATTTCAAACTTATAATTTAGCACTTATATTTTGAGCAGACGGATTACCTGATGGTAAGCAATCAGCGCCGCCGTCGAAGCTACAAGTGCGTTGCGTTTTGGAGATTTTGGGATTGGGGGACATTTTGATGCTGTAATATATTTTTGACATGAAATCTGTGCATCGGGACTTTTAATTTCAAATTATAAATTTGAAGTCGCCAATCCGCCTTGAGCAAGCGTGGTGATTAAAGCTCATATCTTCTTCGTGTGAGAAGAAGCCTTTGCTCAGCAGTGGGCACCTATAGGCTTATTTAAAGAATTTGACTTATTGTCAAAGTCCAGGTTTCCTCACGATGTTTACCTTCACCGTATGTCAGTGGTGTCTTAATAATCATAGAAAGTACATTTAACTCGGAAAAGTCACATTGGTACTTGTCATGTTTCGAACCCTCATACATGAGAGGGCCATATGTGTGAGTTAACCTCCTCGCTCGGACGATTTATAATAATATTTAATGCCTAAAATTATTGTTTTAGGAACATGGCGATTATAAATGTGATATCTGTTCTCAATACTGTCATAGCCTTGTTTCATTACGAGGACACATTAAATCACACACAACAAGGTGAGAGGACGCTTAATTAATTAATTATTTCTATTGTCTCATTATCTTATTGTTGATTACTCCTCCTTTCCCCCCATCCCCAATGTCTATTAACGTTAAAGGCAGGAACGCTTGTTTCGCAGTCCTAAGTAGTCATAACCCTCCCCCCACCCCTCAATCTCTTCCCAATCTTTGGGGATTGGGAAGGAATTGGGGATGGGGGAGAGATTGGGGAAATAAGCAACCCCCAGTCTTTGGAGATTCCTTATTTCAGTTCTAATCTTTCCCTCCCCCAATACAAATTACAAATTTTCAGTCCTTATCTTTCCCCCAAAATCTCAATCCCCAAATACCCAAAAGAGAAGCTTATTTAAAGGCCTTAATACTTCCACTCCACTCCCTATCCCAAATCCAAAAAAGGCCATAGCGCTTCTTTCACAGCATAATGCGTAGTTACCAGTCCTAATCTTTCACAACACACCCCCATTCCCGAAATCCTCAAAAAGCCGTAACGCTTATTTCACAGGCTAATCCTTACCTCACACTGAAGTTTAAGTGTGGGAGAGCCAAGCTTCGGCACGAATGGGTCGGCTCGACCGGAGTGATACCACGGCTTCACAGAATACCGGTGTGAAACAACCCACAGCGTCATGTTTCGCCGTGTGAGTGAGGTTACCGGAGGCCCAATCCTTTCCCCTTCCCCAATCCCTCCCCAGTCCCTAAATCTCCAAATCCCTAATCCCTAAAAGGTCGGCAACGCACTCGTAACTCCTCCGTTGCGGGTGTCCATGGGCGGCTGATTGCTTACCATCAGGTAATCCGTCTGCTCGTCTGCCGATCTATTACATAAACAAAAAATTACAACAGATTCAGAAGTGATTTCGCAAATTAACTTTTGAGAATATATGTACCTATAGCTGTTGTCGATTGATAGCCGAATTTTCCACCAGAACCGACTAAATGATGTAACAAAGAAATGTATTGTAAAACTGATTGAAAAAGAGTAACCATGGAGTTTCTTGCTCGTTCTTCTCCATAGGAATCTACACTTTGGAACGAGCAAATAGCTTCACTAGAGGACAGACGGACAGACCGACACGCTTAATTTTAAAGCTCATGTTATATACTTTATTCCTTTTTTGCTTGCTTGACGTTCAAAAGTGCCTACTGTGGTCTAATTGAAATAAGTGATTTTTGGTTTTTGACTTTTTTGACTTTTTTCTTTTTAGGTATAAATGTAAAGTATGCGGACACGTGCGCTTGTCCCGGCAGAATCTCTTGGAGCACCATGCTATAGTCCATACTATGGCGCCGGCGTCCTACACTTGTGACAAATGCCAGTTCACTAGCAAGTAAGTGAGGTTATATTGTTTTAAGGCAATTTAATTTAAGTATTTTATAGTAAGTAGGTATAATTTAGTGTTTTTTTTTTTGTGAGGGGAAAATCATCAAATGACTTCTCCCACCCAGGGCCGGGCGGGAGGGAGTGTCAGACTCTTACTGACTAAAAACCCCCTGATCCTTCTCCTGCTCTGTGCCGAGGTCGCGGTGCCTCATTGCGCCTACCCCGCAACCTCGGATAATTTAGTGATAGTTAACACATTTGAACCCATTATTTTAAATAAGCTAGTGATAGCCCTCAAATTTGCAACTCCTGAAAAAGGCCGTTAAGCTGTGCCTATTATTTTAATTCAAGATCCTTATACATACTTTAACATGCAAATAAAGAATTTTAGTTTGAATTTATCTATACTCTTAACAAGTACTAGCTCTTGCCAGCGACTTCGCTCCCGTGATTTGACTAACTAGCTATCTGCCCTACGCTACCTACCCTATCCTACACTAACTATCATACCTTCATCATCATCATCATCATCAGCGAATAAGTGCCCACTGCTGAGTAAAGGCCTCTTCTCATACGGAGAAGGTTAGACCATTAATCACCACGCTTACTCAATGCGGGTTGACGATTTCAAACTTATAATTAGAAATTATAAGTCCAGGTTTCTTCACGATGTTTACCTTCACCGTAGGTATGTCAGTAGTATCTAAATAATCATAGAAAGTACATATAACTCGGAAAAAGTCACATTGGTACTTGCCAGGTTTCGAACCCACGCATGAGAAGCGGGCTCCTTAACCTCCGGGACACCACCACATTTATCCTACCTTAACTACCCCACACTACCTATCTAACACTACCTACCCTACATTACCTACCTTTTTTTTTTTTTTTTTTTTTTTTTGGTGTCGGGTTGGAAAATCCTCATGGAGACCCATCGCCCTCGGGGAAGGGCGAAGGGTACTGTCAGACTCTTACTGACTAAAAACCAACCCGGTGTTCCTCCAATAACCCATGTGTCGGAGGGGCGGGTATCGCCGAAGCATCCGTCGCAACCCCCCGACGGGTGTTGGCCCGCCAGATGGTAAGGCGGGCCCCGTCACCCACTGCGGCCGTCACCCCGACCGCAGGACTCCACTATGAGGCGCGCGCGGAACACGGCGCCGCCGCCTCGAGGCCTGCTGCTGGTCAGACGACAAGACGCCCCGAGTCTGTCGTCCACAGGCCGCGCCCTACGGTGGCCGCAGGTCGGCCACCCTACGACGTCTAGTGCGTCTGCTGCGGGAGGGGAGAGAGGAGGCAGCCTCTCTCTCCCTTTCCGCCGCCTCCTTTGCGAGCATCACGGCCTCGCAGAAGGTAGCTATGGTACTCCACCCTGACTCGCTCCCGACCATAGTAGACACTACAGCCGGAAACGAGAGATTTCCCGCAGCACCTACGGCCGCGACCAGGTCACGACGCTGCTCGGCCCAAGCTGGGCACTCCGCCAAGGTATGCAGCGCCGTATCGTCGCGGCAATCACCACAATGATGGCACTGAGACGTCGGCTCCCGACCTATGCGACACAGGTACTTCCCGAAACACCCGTGTCCGGTAAGCACCTGCGTCAGCCGGAAGCTGAGGGCGCCGTGGCTCCTATTGAGCCACTCCTCTAGAACGGGCCTTACCGCCTCTATAGCGGCGTGCCCCGCCGTGGGTTGCGCTAAGCGCGTCTGCCACTCCGCCATTAAGGTCTGGCGGAGTTCTGCCCTGCGTGCCTCAACCTGTCGAGGCACCAGGCGCTCGCCCCGCTCGACTGCCTCCGCGCGCCACCAATAGAGCGACGCGAGGAGTTTTGCGTCGAGGTCCCAGGGCGGGGATCCGGCTAGGAGGCTCGCTGCCTCAAAGGAGATCGTACGGTATCCCCTGATTATCCTGACGGCCATCGCGCGCTGTGGCCTTCGCAGCGCGGCGATGTTGCGGGCCGTCAGGGCGTCCGCCCATACTGGCGCAGCGTATAACGCCATCGACCGTACGACCCCCATGTAGAGCCTCCGGCAGGAGGAGATGGGCCCCCCCTGGTTGGGCAGCAAGCGCGACAGCGCAGCAGCGGCGCCCATCAACCGGGGGGCGAGCCGTGTAAAGTGCGGCCCGAAATTCCACCGACTGTCGAGAACGAGTCCGAGGTACTTCATCGTGGACTCAACAGCGATGGAAACCCCTCCTACTATAATGCTGGATCCTTGAGGCGGCCTCATCCTCGGCCCATGAAAACACAGGGCCTCCGATTTGTGCAATGCCACCTCTAAGCCCAGCCGCCGGATCCTACCCACGACGTGCGCGACACCAGCCGTCGCGCGTATGGCCGCCTGCCGGTACGACTTCCCACGCGCTGTAACTAGCGTATCGTCGGCGTAACAAATGACGCCGACGCCGTGGAGTAGCGCACCGCGCAGAGCCCAGTCGTAGCCAACGTTCCACAAGAGCGGCCCCAACACCGAACCCTGCGGAACGCCGCACGACGTCTCTCGCCGACCCCATCCTTCTCGACCCGGGTACACCACCGACCTGTCCGACAAATAGGCCCCGACAATGCGTTGGAGGTAGCGCGGCACCCCGTGATACCGGAGTGCCTCTCGGATGGTACTCCAGGGCAAGGTGTTGAAAGCGTTAGCGATGTCGAGCGACACCGCCAAGACCACCTCACCCCGGGCGACTGCCTCCTCTGCCAGGACCCTCACGCGCATGATCGCATCCACTGTGGAGCGCCCCTGGCGGAAACCAAATTGGTTGTCCGCCAAATCCGGCCCCACCCTGGTCATGTGCTGGACGAGGCGGCCGGCGATGATTCGCTCGAAGATCTTACACACCTCGTCCAGCAACACGATCGGCCTGTACGCAGACGGGGAGTCTGCGGGGCGCCCCGCCTTCTTGAGCAGGACCAGCTTTCCGGTCTTCCACCGGCTTGGAAACTGGCCCCGCTCCAAACATGCGCTTAAGAGCCCCGCTAGTCGGGGCCAGAGAGCTCTCATAGCCAGGACCCATGCACGGCCTGGAATGCCGTCGGGCCCTGGGGCGGTGTTCTTGATGCGAGCCACCGCCACTCTCAACTCTACCCGGGTCACTTCGGGCACGTTTTCGTCAGTCTCGTCTTCCGCGTTGGGCGAACTACGAGGCGGAACCATAGCCGGTGGAGTGTGCTCCGGTCTCGACGGAAACAACGCACACACCACCTCCTCCAGCAGCTGTGGCTGGAGACTCCGGGTTAGTGGGGGGGCCCATTGGCGCAATTTGCCCCGTACCATGAGGTAGGGGCGTCCCCACGGATCTCGGTCCAGAGTCCTCAACAGCTCTACGTTGGCCTGGGCCTTTGCCCGGACAATGGCCAGCTGGAGGGCGCTTTTCGCCTCTCTGTAGCGGTTATATAGTTCCGCCTCTTCCTGTTCGGCCGCAGCTGTAAAGGGGCTGCGGCGTCTTCTTCGGTACCTTGCGTACTGGCGCCGCACCCGTACACAAGTGGTGCGTAATTGCGCAATTGAGTGCGACCACCAGTACACTTGGCGCCTGGATGGTAGCGGCCGGACTCGGGGCATGCCAGCGTCGCAGATGTGCGACATGCTCTCCCGGAACCACTCCGCCTCCTCGTCGATGTTGGTTGGCCTGTCTGGAGAGTCCAACCAGGCCTTGACGATAGAGGCCTCCAAGAGAGCCTCCCTGTCCAACCGCTTTAACGCCCAACGCGGACCGTCTCCAACGCCCACCGGGGTCGCTTGGATCGGCCCAACCGAGGTCTGAGCAGAGACGCTGAATCGAATATATCGGTGGTCAGACAGCGTCTCTACCTCCTCCAACACGTGCCAGTCCTGGACAGTGCGTGCGAGAGCGGGGCTAGCGAAAGATAAGTCCACTATAGACCCACCTCGCTGCCGCACGCACGTCTGCACGGAACCCCGGTTTAGGAGAAGCAGGCCCTGCTCGACCGCCCACTCCTCCACTAACTCGCCCCGCGCATTCGTACACGGGGAACCCCAAGCCGTGGATTTGGCATTGAAGTCCCCAAGGACTATCACGGGACGAGGATGACTACGACTGACAATCGTGCCCAACTCCAATATCAGATCCTCCATGTCGGCGAGAGAAAGGCTGGGGGGGAAATACACCCCCGCGACCATGATATTTCCCCAAACTGCCGCAACATAGCCCCGCCCTCGGGTGACGGCCTCGAAGGGAAGGGTGTCGCCGGCAGACCTCAAAATAAGTGCGACCGAGCGGTTTGTGTCGCACACCCAGTCATCCCTGGGTGGCACAAAATACGGCTCGGATACAACTGCCACATCGATCGACCACTGCGCCATGCTCTGAAGCAAGAGATCCTGAGCCCTGGCGCAGTGGTTTATGTTGGCTTGAAGGAGACGACGTAGGGCCATTATTGGGTTTCCATTGCCGTTGCCTCCTTCCCAGCCCTCGGCGGATGTTCTGCCGCAACCGGCGGGTGAACCGGCTGCGAGGAGCTGGTTGCCTTCTGCGTCGAATCCTTGTTAGTAGCCAGCGGATGAGCCGGCTGTCTCTTGGCATTTTTCTTGACCTTGGCGCAGGCCTTTGACCCGGTATGATGGTCAGCTGGCTTACCAGATGCCGCGCAGATGACGCAGTGCGGCGCGGCAGTGCACGTGCCAGCCTTGTGACCGGGCTGACCGCAGCGGAAGCACAGTTGGCTGCGGTCTACTCCCGCGGTGCACCGTGCTCCTGCATGTCCTCCTTCTAAGCAGCGGTAGCACCGATAGGGCTTGGGCTCTAGGAGCACGACCTGCGCCGAGACCCACCCAACCAGAAGCCGCTTTTCCTTTATCTTTTTGGCCGCCGCTACAGGACAGCTGACCAGAACCGTCCCGAGACCGGAGACACCCCGGCGAATCGTGCCCGCCTTGACTTGATCCGGCGAGCATCCTCCGGCCCTGGAGATAGCAGTGGCGACCTCTTCTTGAGTGACGGAATCATCCAGGCCTGAAATGCGCAGATCTGCGCACTTGGTTGGCCTGGACACTTTCACTTCGTCCGAGCCTAGAGACGCCCTGAGTTTATCGGCGAGGGCGTCTGCTTTGGGACCACTGGTAGCTCCCGATACTTCCAGTAAGCGGCCGCCGGTAGCAGTGGTTTTGCATCGGAGGCCTGTAATACCGAGATCACTCAGCGAGATCTCGGCTTTCGCCTTTGCCAGGATCCCAGCATAAGTTAGGCCCCGCTCCTCTGCCCCTGGCTGCAGGGTGAGAACCACTGCTGTAGAGCGGGGAGTGCTGAGCCTCGCGGTCTGGCGCTTGGCAGCCATTTCTTCTTTCCGGGCCTGCTTTTTGGCCCGCTGGCGCGCCTTTTTAGATTTTTTGGCGGTGCCCGCTACCGTCCACTCCGCCTCGGGTATGATAGCGGGTTCGCGTATGGCTGGCTGAGCAGTGACAACTGCTTTTTTAGCCAATTTAGCCTTTTTTTGTTGCTGCTCCGTTCTCTTTCCAGAAGCAGCAGTTGTGCTCTTGTTTTGTGTGGCAGCCGCTTGTGCCGGTTGGGCGGCACGGGGCGCTGCGACTTGGGCTGCATATGTCGGTGCCTGAGTACTGCGTTGGTCTGCAGCCAGAGGAGGACGCAGGATCTTCCCCTCAAGCACTGAGAAGCGCGCGTTGAAACTCGCCATCTCCTGGCGGATCAAGCGAGTCAACTCCATCTCTTGTGATGGTTGCTGCTTTGACGTCTCCGAAGTCGCCTGCGGTTGCAGTTGCGGCGTTATATGCGGAAGACCTACCTCCCGCTTGAGTTGCTCGCGCCGGAAGTTGGCCATCTCTTCCTTAAAATCTTCGTGCTCCTTGCGGAGCTCCGCCAATTGCGTTGCGAGCTTTTTATTTTGGGCCCGCAGCAGGGCCGTTTCTTCAGATGTGGAGCGAGTCAAAAGCACCTGAGCACTCTCCATAATAGAGGCCGTGGCCTCTTTAAGTGCTTTCTGACTGCAGCCGCTAAGGCCCTTTGAGACCTTGCTCACACGTCTTATGGCTGCAACCGCGTCAACCATCCTCTGATTTAGGTCGGAGGCAGGGAGCTCTTCTGCCTCGACTCCTACATCAGTGACGACAGACGACGACTCCGACAGGCGAGCGACTCTCCCTTTCGTCACTCTTTTCGTCAGAGCCGCAATCTGCCGCTCGTCCTCCTCTAGTTTTTCGGCGACTGCAGCGGCTTTTATTGCAGCCGCAGCCTCACGCCTGGATAGGCCGATACCAACATATTTGCCTGTGGTGGTAGGCCTACCTCTCCCTCCCTTTTTAGTGCCGACCTTGGGGGCCGGTACTGCTGTGTCACTAAGGGCCGATTCAGACCCTGAGTCTACACCCTCTCTTGGGCGTTTGCGTAAGCGTTTTCCGCTTACCGCGCTCGCCACGCTCATACGGCTCGACGCGCTATCTGAGTCCGACAGAACGCCTTTCCGCTCAATAAGTACCATTGGTACGGTTTCACCCACCTCGTCATTTTTGTTTTTTATTTTGTTTGTAAGGGTCTCCATATTGTTCCCACGAGTACAAAGCAAGTAATGGTCAACCCCGGGCAGAGGCTTAGGTACCCGGGTAAGCCTACATACTGCTGGGGGCGGCAGGTACCAGCAGGTGGGAGCGCTAACGACCGTACACCCAACGGCCATTCATCCCCTCGCCGCGCTCCCAAAACTTGGGATTGGGTGGTTTTTTATCTTAGAGGTGTCCTTCCTCTGGGGCCGGGCGGTAAAGCCAAGCCCCCCGACGGCGGCATTGAGACATGCCTCCGTCCGCTGTCCGGCCAACCCGAATCAGCGGACCCGCCGAAAGGTTTGTTCCTCAATGAATGAGGAGACAAACGAACCCCGCATTGACGCGCCTGCGCCTAAGAGGGTGTGGTCACGTCCTCACCAAATCGACTAAGACGACGGGGCAGGAGCGACCCCTCCTGCAGAAGTTAGCTCCGGACAATAATACTCCTCTTACGCGAAGTGATTATTGTCCGTACCCAGGGTGCACCGGTCCAACGACTGCTCTTCCCCCCGGACGTATCCACAAGGGACCAGCAGCCGCCGAACGCACGGGGAGGTCTTCTGCGCGCACCCCTACATTACCTACCCCACCCTACCTACTCTATCCTATCCTATGTCCTTCTCCCAGTTCTTAGCTACCTCCCAACCAATTGTCAGCCGTCCTTGTGTTATAAATAGTTTTATTTTCAGGGGTCCACTTAAACTGGTGTGGTTCTTTCATCAAAAGACCACTACAGAATGAACTTGCACGGTTCTCTCACATTATGTTATTTTTACATTGTGTGGACTTGAAAAGAGACTGACCTCTGAGTTTGTTTCGGCATTTCTTCTCAGAGTAGTCAGATAGGAAATGCCGGCTTCATCTAGTTTTTCACATATAAATTGATGTGTAAAAGTGCCGTTTTATGGCTTATTTGCAAAAATAAATTCATTGTTTCATTGTTTAACTGGCATAAGTCGTGTTTTTATGTAACTAGCTCTTACCCGCGGCTTCGCTCCCGTCATTTGACTATCTACCCTACTCTACCTACCCTACTCTACCTACCCTACTCTACCTACCCTACTCTACCTACCCTACTCTACCTACCCTACTCTACCTACCCTACTCTACCTACCCTACTCTACCTACCCTACTCTACCTACCCTACTCTACCTACCCTACTCTACCTACCCTACTCTACCTACCCTACTCTACCTACCCTACTCTACCTACCCTACTCTACCTACCCTACTCTACCTACCCTACTCTACCTACCCTACTCTACCTACCCTACTCTACCTACCCTACTCTACCTACCCTACTCTACCTACCCTACTCTACCTACCCTACTCTACCTACCCTACTCTACCTACCCTACTCTACCTACCCTACTCTACCTAACCTATTGCACCTTTTCTATCCTATGTCCTTCTCCTGGCTCTAAACTACCTCCCTGCCTATTTTCAGCTAAATCGGTTCAGCCGTTCTTGAGTTATAAGTGGACTAACTAACACGGCTTTCTTTTATACATATAGATTAAGATTATTTAGATTATAAAGAGGTAAGTTTGTATGTAATCTTTGGGGTAATCTTAAAAGTGTCAATGAGCAAGTGTGGTGATTAATGCTCAAACCTTCTCCGTATGAGAAGAGGCCTTTGCTCAGCAGTGGACACTTATAGGCTGATGATGTTATTCGATTTGTTTGTTTGTTTGTATTACAGTAAACGCACAGTGATACAGCGGCACGTTAAGACTCATTCGTCCAGTGAACGGCACGCGTGCCACCAGTGCGGGAAGCTCTTCACCACAATGGAGTCTCTTAGGGTGCATACGTTGTAAGTTATTTTTAAAAGCAACTATCGTGATACATACTAAGTCGTGGACATTTTTTTAAGGAATAGGAGGCAAACGAGCAGACGGATTACCTGATGGTAAGCAATCGGCGCCGCCCATTAACACTCGTAGTACCAAAGGAGTTACGAGCGCTTTGCCGGCCTTTTAGAGATAAGGGTTTCGGTATTTTAGGCCCAAATAGCTTCACTGACGAACAGACTGACAGACTACTATTCCATTCTGACGTTTCAAAACTATCTGTTTATGGTTTAGTTGGAATAAATGATTTTGAATTTGACTTCGATTTAAAAACGTAGCAAAAAGGATTAGGAAGGGCCCCACCCTTCCTAATCCTTTTTGCTACGTTTTATGGGGAGATAACCTCACTCAAACGGCGAAACACAACGCCTTGGATTTTGTGAGGCCGTGGTATCATTCCGGTCGAGCCGACCCATTCGTGTCTGAAGCCTGGCTCTCTCACATTTAAAACATTTTTAGCAACCGAAAATAGTAATTTCTTTACAACCCCCGACGCAAAAAGAGGGTTGTTATAATTTTAACGTGGCTGTCTGTCTGTCTGTGCCATCCTGGAGCCTGAACGGGTAAAGCGATTTCAATTTTTGTATTAAAGGTGACTAACGTGCGAGTGTTCTTAGACATGTTTGACGAAAATCGGTTGAGCCGTTTAAAAGTTATGGGGGGTAAGTGGGGAAGGGTAACCGAATGTCTGCAAATATACTCGAGTGGGGTCCCAAATGAAAGCGCACTGAAAGGGAATGTTGATGACTTAATCGAGAGAAAATGATATTAAAATAAAAAAATAAATTAGACCCCCGACAAAATAGAAACATGCATTTGATAATAATATGTATTACTTTATAAAGGAATATTAGATTTTATGTCGGGGGTTTTTTAAATTATATAAATTTATAATAATTATATTTTTTATTTATTGTAACGCTTTGGGCGTTCTCTGCCAGTCTATTTAAAATATTCAATTTTTTGTTTCTAGGCGCCATGATAAATCGAAGCGTCTCCACTGTGATCTTTGCAACAAATATTTTCTGTACACCTCGTCTCTAATGAAACATAAGCTGGCTCACCAACAGGATGACTACTACTGCGTCGAGTGCGACGTGAGGTTCAAAACTCCGGTGAGACATTTTTCATATCTAGCTTTCTATATTTATACGAAGAAATTTCAATATTTTTTTTCATGTCATATGTCTGTAAACGTGCGGACAGATTACCTATAGTCAGAATTTTAATTCGATTCCTGATTTGACATGACCTATTGTCATTTTGTAAAATAATGATACCACATATAACAGTGTAGTGATGAACACAAAAATGGATAAACAATCAGTGAATCAGTTTGAGGAAGGCATTCAAAAAATTACGGCTACCGAATGGTCTAAATGCGTATCCCATGTTGTCAAAGAAGAGGAAAAAATGAATAAGCTAGATATGTGAATTGACAATAAAAATCAAACACAATTCATAATAAATGTTACAGAAAGTAACAGCGATAGCGATAGCGATGACGGCGACAATTTATAAAATTTCTGTTTTATTTGTCATGTTCCTTCATGATCACATTTTTTATTAATTTCACACACAATTACAAAAGAAAAGTTTCAGATCGTTAATTTATAGTCAAAACTAAATTATCGGTTCAGAAATATTTAATTTCCTAACAAACTTAGTTTACGAGAGTAAATTTATAAACAAAAGAAATCGATTCTGAAATATTCGATTTCCATATCGAATAATTTCGCAACGTCACTATTTTGTACGTGTCATAACGTTGCAACACTGAAATTGTCAAATCTGGAATGGAATTAAAATTCCGAGTATAGTACCGGTACGCAATCAGCGCCGCCCATGGACATTCGTTATACGAAAGGAGTTACTACAAGTGCTTTGCTCGGCTCTTCTAGCTTTAGGGATAGGGGATTTGAGGATTGGGGATGGTGGGAAATAGAAATGTGCCTCCGGTAACCTTAGTCACACGGTATATAGTATAGTATGTGTTGCATCACGCCGGTTTTCTGTGAGGACGTTATATCACTTAGGATTGGGCCGCTCGTCCTAATCGTGTTGTTAGAAGTTACAAAGCAAATTATTTTGACAAAATTATAATAACGCTAGCTTTTGCCCGCGACTTTGTTCGCGTGAAATAGTGACTTCCTGCAGATTTTTGGTTTCAAAACTATCCTATGTCCTTTCTCGAGTTCCGAACTATGTCTGTACCAAATTTCACACAAATAGGTTCAGTAGTTTAGGCGTGAAGAAAAGACGGACAGACAGAGTTACTTTCGCATTTATAAGAAGTTTGGTTTGGATTATTAAGTTAGTAGGTATCACCAAAATCTGCCCTCACAGTTGAAATCTATAAATATTTTACAAAATTAGGTACTTGATTAGTCAATATGCTGCTCAGCTCCATTTAATCGTAGCGTGATGTATTTTAGCCTATAGCACTCAGGAAAATTGTAGCTATCTATCAGTGAAAGAATTTTGGCAATCCGACCAGCGGTTCCAAAGATTACCCCCTACATACAAACTTACAAGTTTTACCTCTTTATAATATTAGTATAGATTATTATATTATTTAGGAATGTGTTTTTTTATGCAGAGACCGATTATCTTATTCCACATATCTATTATAGGTACATATATATAAAAATCAACGCCACTTTTCGTTGTAATGTTATAACTCAACAATGCCTTTACCAATTTGGATAATTTTGTTCTTGAATTATTCGTGGAAGTCCAGAAAAGGTCAGTAGGTACGTAGAAATGAAATTGTAAAATTAACATACAAGCGGACGAAGCCATGGAGGACCGCTAGTTTTTTTTTTAAACCCCATTTTATGGACTTCGATTTTGAGATAGATTTATGATAGCACAAGTTTAAACCTAAGTGGTTTTTGGTTTCTATTTTAAGTTGATTATCCTCTATTTACTGTAAATATGATAAACTAGCTACTCTCGCGCTCCATTAGATCGTAGCGTGATGTTTTATAGCTTATAGCACTCAGGAACATTGTAGCTATCTATCAGTGAAAGAATTTTGGCAATCCGACCAGCGGTTCCAAAGGTTACCCCCTACACACAAACTTACAAATTTTACCTCTTTATAATATTAAGTTTAGATAAATAAAACAAACAGCAAGGAAACTACGTTCCGTTAATCGTCTCTAAAGTGTTATAAGTAGTGTATACAACGGAACCATGCAGTGATTCTGATAAACCTTTAACCTTTTTAACGGCCTTACAGAGAACCGGTTCTCAGTTCGTCAGTCTCGTTTCAAAAGTACCTATTGATGGTTTAATTGGAATAAATGATTTTGACTTTGACTTTGACTTCAGAGGTCTATTTTTCCCCTATTTCCTAGATCCCTACCCTCTAAAAAGCCGGGTACTACAAGCGTCGCTGATTGCTAACCATCCCGCTTGCCTTTCTGGACTTTCGGGAATCGATTCAGCCGTTCTCGAGATTTGCGCTTACCAACAAATTTATCGATAGATTTTTAGATGGTAATATATTTTTTTGCAGGAGAATTTAAGACTTCATTTCAAAAAAGCTAAAAGACACCGGGACCCTTCGTCTTATAGGTAAGTCAAGATTTTTGTCATTCAAAAGTGTCAACTTTTCCACATCACTACATAGTACCTATAAAACAAAGTCGCTTTCTCTGTCCCTATATCCCTATGTATGCTTAAATCTTTAAAACTACGCAACGGATTTTGATGCGGTTTTTTAATAGGCAGAGCGATTGAAGAGGAAGGTTTATATGTATAACAACATCCATTAAATAGTAAAAGTGTGAAGACTTATCATTTCTTATTATAAGTTTGCCTTTAAATCGCCAATCCGTCTTGAGCAAGGTTGTAAGCTCAAACATTCTCCGAGTGAGAAGAGGCCTTTGCTCAGCAGTGGGCACTTATAGGCTTATGATGTGAAGTGAATTATGTATGTGACAGTTTATGCCAAATAAATAAGTCCAGGTTTCCTCACGATGTTTACCTTCACCGTATGTCAGTGGTGTCTAAATAATCATAGAAAGTACATATAACTCGGAAAAAGTCACATTGTGTGTTGACCAGGTTTCAGTCCCACATACAAGAAAATCGGGTGTCTTAATGTCCAGACTACACAAATACCTTTTATAGCGTAGCGGTATATTTAAGTCTAGTGTTAAGTTTAAGTCTAATGTTAGTGTTGAGTTTCCTTTTGTGCGAGTTCACGAGCGAGGACGTTCTCTAGAACTCGAGGGGGAGTGTATAGCGTAGCGGTATGCGCTGGCAACCCAAAGGCGTCCTTACGACGCTGTCCGCGAGGGCGCGCCACAGGTTGACGAATGGCCGCCACACATTCGAAACGGCAACGCTCGCGCTCAGATGTAAAATTGAGATTTAAGTGATTTTTGTTGAATAATGTTTGTGCAAAGTTGTTTCTTGAACATTAAACTGTTAATTATATCGAGTGAGTCCTAATTTGCTCCCCACCTACACTATACTTTACATAATCACCATCTACTTTTAATCCCCACAGATATGGATGCGCACAATGTCCGCTACGCTTCGTCAGTGCATCGTCGTGTGCTGTGCACGAGTCCCGTGCGCACGGAGCGCCTCGTGCTTATGCCTGTGTTTCTTGCACGCGACATTACAGTTCTAAAGACGCATTAAGAGCTCACACATGGCGGGTACATCAAAAGGGGGGACTAAACGTCAAAGGGGGTACTTAATCCCAAAGGGGGTACTTAATCACAAAGGGGGTACTTAATCCCAAAGGGGGTACTTAATCCCAAAGGGGGTACTTAATCTCAAAGGGGGTACTTAATCTCAAAGGGGGTACTTAATCTCAAAGGGGGTACTTAATCCCAAAGGGGGTACTTAATCTCAAAGGGGGTACTTAATCCCAAAGGGGGTACTTAATCCCAAAGGGGGTACTTCATCCCAAAGGGGGTACTTAATCCCAAAGGAGGTACTTAATCCCAAAGGGGGTACTTAATCCCAAAGGGGGTACTTAATCCCAAAGGGGGTACTTAATCCCAAAGGGGGTACTTAATCCCAAAGGGGGTACTTAATCCCAAAGGGGGTCCATAATCCCAAAAGCGGTACTTACACCCAAAGGGGTGACTGGACCCCAAAATTGGGAGGGGGAAGTTAATCCAAAAGGGGGGACGCAAGGGGATTGTTATTTATTTGGGATACTCACAGTCATTAGATTGCCATATCATCATCAAGCTTCGGCACGAATGGGTCGGCTCGACCGGAGTGATACCATGGCCTCACTGAAAACCAGCGTGAGGTAACCACAGCGTTGTGTTTCGCTGTGTGAGTGACGTTACCAGAGGCCCCGTCCCCCTATTCCAAAATTTCCAAATCCCTAATCATCAAAAGTTTGACGACGCACCCGTAACTCCTCCTTTGCGAGTGTCCATGGGCGGCGCTGATTGCTTACCATCAGGTAATCCGTCTGCTCGTTTGCCGTCCTGATACATTAAAAAAACCAGCTGACCCATCAAAGGTTGTTTTTCCATATAAATCATTTGCAAAAATCTCTTATCACTTAGAGATATATAAAATAGCCAGTAACAGATTTTTTTTTATGTAATAGCTCGGCAAACGAGCAGACGGATTACCTGATGGTAAGCAATCAGCGCCGCCCATGGATACCCGTAACGGAGGAGTTACGAGTGCCTTGCCGACCTTTAAGGGATTAGGGATTGAGGGGGGATTGGGGAAGGGGAAGGATTGGGCCTCCGGTAACCTCACTCACATGGCGAAACACAACGCAGTGGTTATTTCACGCCGGTTTTCTGTGAGGCCGTGGTATCACTCCGGTCGAGCCGACCCATTCGTGCCACAGCATGGCTCTCCCACACTTAAAAGATTCTTCGACCTACTGAATATGCATATAAAATTTGGTGAAAATAAATAAAGCCGTTTCGGAGGAGTAAGGCAAATAACATTGTGACACGAATATTTCATATACAGGGTGTCCGGTTAAGAATGGATAACCTTGAAATGCCTTTTAGAATATCTTATAGCCATTCTGAAGAAAAAACGAAAAAGAAAACGCCATAAGTAGGTAGTACCTAAGTTATGACGTCTTGATGTGGAAGAACTGGTGCTAGAGGTAATAGAAAATGATCCTTTAGCATTCGCGCACATTATATTATTTTTGTGCTTGGAAAATCGTCATATGACTCGGGCGGGTAGGGGTGTCAGACTCTTACTGACTAAAAACCTCCCCGTTCCATCTCCTGCTCTGGGCCGAGGTCGCGGTGCCTCATTGCGCTTACCCCGCAACCCCAGCTAAACATCAGCCCTATAGGGCCACGTCTGTGGTGGTCTATTGGCACTATTGCACAAAATGACGATTCAACATGGTTGCAAAAAAAATTATGCACTATTTGTCTAAAATAAATTATTTTTGTAAGTTTTTTATGAAAACTTTTTTTTCATAAATTTAATTTTCGTATGTTTTGGTTATCCATTATTTACCTAACACCCTGTATACGTGTGTATTTGTCTCATAATAATATGTATGTGAATCTCTTGTGATATAGGTATATGCTGACTGAAAATTTTAACCTTAAGAGAAAATGTACATAATATGTGTAAATAAAAATAAAGATCTTTTTCCAAATAATTTTATTTGTTTTTCTTAATAAAATATAGATACATATGTTTAACAATTAATTATAATTACTTTTATATGTCTTTTTTTACAATTTCGAACACAAATTCTTCTTAAAAAGAAAATAAACCATAGACACATGTATCCATAAGCAACCTATTCACTCGTGTTTTGAAGACCTTTGGATAAAATAAACGCAAAGAGTTCCTTAGTCTTATAATACACTCAGGGGCACATTTAACCGGCCACCTACATTTTTTCGATTTCTTCAAAATTCTATGGTAATTTAATTTATTTTGTTATAATATTACATTGGGTGAACCTATACGAAGACAAATAAAACATGTGTATGTTGAGAAATGGTTTAATTGAGACAAAATTAAAAAAAAAACAGAATATACAGTTTTCTTAACAAAAAATAAAATTTACAAAAGGGCACTTTTAAAAAAGTGTGCTGTAAATTATCGGATTAATAATGTGTATTTCCTCCTCTGGCCCTAATGACCTCTTGTAACCGATTAGGAAGCCCGTCCATTATGTCTTGGATGTCGCTTTGGGGAATGTTCTCCCACTCCTCAACAGCTGCAGTTTTCAGCTCACTGATGGTCCTCGGAGCTGGTGTACGACTCCGGATCCGTCTTTTTAAGTTGTCCCATACATGCTCTATTGGGTTCAGGTCAGGACTGCGAGCTGGCCATGGTAAACGTTGAATATTGACGTCGTCCAAGTAATCGGTGACAATTCTCGCAGTGTGTGCACGAGCGTTGTCGTGCATTAAAACAAAATTATCGCCAATGAATGGTGCAAAAGGAATCACATATGGTTCTAGGATTTCTGTCACGTACCTGTGAGCATTAACGCTGCCTCTATCGAAGATGACCAACTCTGTACGGGCGTCGTAAGAAATGCCACCCCACACCATTATCGAGCCTCCCTCGTAGCCCACGGTTCCAACCACAGCACATTCAGCAAACCTTTCACCGCGGCGCCTATACACGCGCTGACGTCCATCAGGACCTCGTAAAGCGATTCTTGACTCATCAGAGAAGAGAACTGCCTTCCATTGTTCCGAAGTCCAATTTAAATGTTCTCGAGCAAATGCAAGTCTCGCTCTTCTGTGAGCTGTGGTCAGATCTGGGACTCGAACTGGTCGAAATGCTTTCAGGTCCCTCTCAGCTAACCTTCTTCTTTTTGTTCTTAGGCTCACACTTACATTTCGTACCTCAAACAAGCGGTCACGAGCCTCAGAAGCCGTTGTGAACCGATTTCGTAAAACGTTCGAGACGATGTAACGATCATCTCTCTCTGATGTACACCTTCTACGACCTTGCCCTGGCCTTCTTGTGTAGGAACCAGTCTCTCTGTAACGCCGGATAGCATCTTGAATAGTGGTTCGTGGATATCCAAGCATCCGTCCAATCCGACGCTGGCTAAACCCAGCGTCTGCAAGTGCTACTGCCCTGGCTGCTCCAGCTGCGTCCAATGGCATTTTTTTTGGTGTAAATTGAATCACGGCACTCCAACACCTCGGTTTTATTCGAAGAAATTGTATCACAACGTTTTAAATGAAATGTATCCGTCACACAAACAAAGGGCGAGACTGTCAAATTTCGACTAAACTGATTATTGTTAAATAAAAACCACAAAAGTAAACAAAACGCGGGTATGGTTGTTTTATTGATTTATGATATACCCACTTATGAAGTTGCGCCTATAATTCAAAGCGTAAGTTAACATAAACAAACGTTATGCTATTTGAGATGGGTGGACGGTTAAATGTGCCCCTGAGTGTATTTATTTCTAATTCTATCTAGCTAGCTTCTGAATAAAAAATTGTGTATGTCGTACTTCAGATTATAATCTATCTATGTGCCAAATCTAATTCAAATCCACTCAGTAATTTAGTAAGAAACATCCTACCAGACTAAGAAATGTATAGGACAACAGATTTATATTTGAAAATGCCAAGATTCAATAAATTTAAATGTGTAAGCTTAACAAAAAAATATAATTATAATTACAATTTCGTTTTTGGACAGATTTTAAAACCTTAAAATAGCTGAGATATTAATAATATTTTTTCATAATATAAATATGTATAACAGCTTTGTGATGATAATTAGCACCATTCATAAGAAAGCCAAAGTAATATCTAAGTTTCATAGTACAAAACTCAACAAAGTTAGAATTGGGCGGGAAAATTATTTTTTAACACGTGTTTAAAATCGAACTGTAACGAACTCTGTAATAAAATCTAAGAATCTGTATTACACACACTTATTATTGTTGTACCATCATTAAACTTGGCAATCGTGTAGTTTCCTAGGTCAAAAATAAATTAATTCGACGTTTCAATACAATAAAATATTGAAAAACAACTATACATACTTATATATATTCATCGATCGATCGATACACTAACTTTTGGATATGTTTTAGGTAATTTTTAAGAAATAAGTAAGCTATTTGACCTAAAAATACTAAAACGTTATAACTCAGTATTTCATAAAAAAATCATAGTTAAGTATCGTTTTTGACATTTGGATAAAAGTATTGAATTTGACTAGTTGGAAACTACCTTATTGTGTGTGGATTAGATAACAATACAATATAATGGTACCATCGAGCTGGTTTAATGATGGATGCGGAAGAAAAATACCAAATAATCAATTTCAGACTTAGGGCTTATTTTTAAATAGTCAGATAAATGTTATCTGAGGAATAAAATTGTTGCTGTCACTGTCTCATACAAACATTGTGACGCGACAGCATTATACTTAGTCGGGTCATAAGTTCTGTCAAAACCTTATATTTTTAATTTTCGATTACTGGCCAGAAATTCTTCGACTTATTTTAAAAATAGAACTTTCGCGCTTGTAGAAAATAAAAAAGAAATTATTTTTTATTCATTTTTAAATATGGAGTGGTCGAATAAAGAAGACAGAATCGCGGTTATCGCGTTGCACCGCTGTGGTTACGCGCCAAAAGACATTTTCAATATTCTTCAAAATTTGAAAATAACGTTACGGTTTGTTTATCGTACTATCAAACGATACACCGAAGAGTCAAGCTTCGAAGATCGTAAGAGAAGCGGCCGACCTCGCACAGTTCGGACACATAAGGTCATCAAAGCAGTGAAGGCGCGAATCGAACGAAATCCCGTACGTAAACAAAAAATCCTAGCTCTGCAGATGGGGCTAAGCAGAACCACTGTTAAAAGAGTACTAAATGAAGACCTGGGACTACGAGCTTATCGTAAAAAGACAGGACATTTTTTGAACGAGCGTTTAAAAAAAATTAGGCTAGACAGATCCCGCGCTTTGCTACGACGGTACGCGGGAAAAAAATACCGCGAAATTCTTTTTTCGGATGAAAAAATTTTTACTATTGAAGAAAGTTTTAACAAACAAAATGATAAGGTGTATGCCCACAGCAGTGAAGAAGCAAGCGCGCGTATTGCGAGGGTCCAGCGTGGGCATTACCCTTCCTCATTCATGGTTTGGCTTGGAGTCTCATATTCAGGCGTAACTGAGGTGTTTTTCTGTGAAAAAGGTGTGAGAACTAGTGCCGAAGTTTATCAAAATACTGTCCTAACAAACATAGTGGAACCTCTTTCTCAGACAATGTTCAGGAACAGGCATTGGATATTCCAACAGGACTCTGCACCGGCTCATAAGGCACGAAGTACGCAAGACTGGTTGATCGCTCGTGGAATTGACTTCATCCGGCATGAAGACTGGCCCTCTTCTAGTCCAGATTTAAACCCACTGGACTACAAGATATGGCAATATTTGGAGGAAAAAGTCTGTGCTAAACCTCACCCGAATTTGGAGTCTCTCCGAGCATCTCTGGTTAAAGCAGCGGCAGACATAGATATGAATGTGGTGCGTGCAGCGATCGATGACTGGCCGCGTAGATTAAGGGCATGTGTTCAAAATGGGGGAGGGCATTTCGAATAATGTAAATAAAATTATATTGTACATTTAATGACCTTTCATTTCATATATAATTTTTAAATAATTGTCAAAAGGCGTATAAGTTATTACATCAAAAGTTTGTGACAGAACTTATGACCCGACTAAGTAATTATTCCCCAGGTAACTTTTATCTAACCATTGAAAAATCAGCCCTAAGAAGTCAAGTATACCTACCATTTTTCTACCCATTCGTTAAATAATCAACTGGCGTCACTACATAATAATATTAACAACTACATTATTATAAAGTAACAATTTAGTAAACCAAACTTTATTACAAATGCAATAAAAACTAATTTTATATCGTAAAGTCTCAACACTGGGGTATTTTAATATACATTAGGTACTTTGTTTAGCAGAGGGCTTTGTATATTGTTACGGGTGGCAAAGGGGGCGTCCATAAATTAGGAGAAGATGGTTAAGGAGGGAAGGGGTCCAGTCGAATGTCACGCAATTTTATTTTTAAATTGAAACAATATAAAAAATGTCTAAAAAAATCAACATTTAAGTATTCTATTGTTAAATTTTTACATTCATTATCACTCTCAGCAATATTGTGTACTAGTCTTAATTAGGCGTAAACAAAAGCACTAAGCAAATTGTTTTTCTTCTTTTTACAATGACAATCCAAGGACGTTTACGACTCGTAAACGCCTTCGTAAATTAAGAGTGATCAATGGATCGGGAGGGGGGGGGGGGGTGAACAAAATCTCACGACATCTCCCCAAAGGAGGAGGAGTAATTAAGTAGTTTCCTAAAAAAATTAATTCGACGTTTCAATACAAAAAATAACCTATACTTACGTACTTTTATTCATCGATCTGTCGGCACACAAAATTTTCAATATTTTTTAGCTAATTCTTAGGAAATAAGTAAACTATTTGCCGTAAAAATTATATACCTACATCAATGCAATCATCGATTTTTACATACAAAATTCACAGAAAAGTATCGTTTTTGACATTAGCAAAAGTATTGAATTTGACCAGTTGGAAACTACCGTACGTAATAATAATATGGACGCCCTTATTTACAGTCACCGCGCTATCTCACTACAAACTTATCCCCACGAAGACCAATGTCATTCTCTTCTCATACATTTCCTTTTTTCTAAAACAATCATACTTTTCAATGCGCTCGCTATAATATATCTTAGTTCGTGAAATTTATCATACGACAGACGGTAAGAGTTTGTCCGTCCGTCTGTGAGCTGTAGAATTAGAATGACGTGGGTGTCGCGATGCATAATTTCTCTTGCTCGCTGTTGTGATGGATTCTCTGATGATATGGTTGATTGACTGCAGAAAAATACAGGTGGTCATAACTAGAATTTCATAACCTAAATAAGAATCATCAATTAAGTGCTCGAGCGGACTGATACCACGGCCTTACAGAAAACCGCCGTGAACCAAAATAGATACGTTGTAATTCGTCGTGTGAATGAGGTTTCCGACAAAATCTTTGCCATCCCTCATTCCTGCTTAATCCCTAAATCTCCAAATCGCTAATCCCTAAAAGGTCGGCAACGCACTCGTAACTCCTCTGTTGCGAGTGTCCATGGGCGGCGCTGATTGCTTACCATCAGGTAATCCGTAGGCTCTTTTGCCGATCTATTTACATAAAATTACAATATGTGTAAAAAGTACAATAATATGTCAAATAGTACAGGTATGTAGCAGTCATATAGCTTTATTTTCGTTGTTCGGTAAAATGACTGAATTTCTCATTCAAGGTTCAACTCAAAAGCCTGAACGATTATCCGTTTGATTGAATGGCTCTATTTTTTATTCAGGCCGCTAATTCAATGGCTTATTGAGCCATTTGGCTACGATCTCTATGATTATTGTATGAGATTACTAAATAAGTTGATAAAAACTAAAATAACGACAATAATACTGCAATATGTTATAATGCCATCCCTGAATCTCCAAATGCCAAATCCCCAAAGGTCGGCAAAGCACTCGTAACTGTTCTGTTATTGCGGGTGTCTATGGGCGGCGCTGATTGCTTACCAAAAGGAAATACGTCTGAAAGTTGGCATAAAAATTTTTTTTTCTTCAGGTTTTATTACTTTGCATTATACGGTGAGTTGATTTTTGATGGTGAATATATTAAATACTAGCTACTCTCGCGCGGTTTCACTCGCTGCTCGGCTCCATGTAATCGTACCGTGATTTTATAGCCTATAGCACTCAGGAACATTGTAGCTATATATCAGTGAAGGAATTTTGGCAATCCGACCAGCGGTTCCAAAGATTACCCCCTACATACAAACTTACAAATTTTACCTCTTTATAATATTAAGTATAGATTTATTATATTTTTCCCTCCTCACTTACCATAGAGATATATCTATCTTCCAGCTCATGCTAAGCAGCCCCGGCTTCACTCGGAGGTGTGTTGGTACATTCTCATACATCTTGTCCGTGCACAGCAGTGTTGATAATTCTGATACGCAGTCTGGAGAAAACCTGGAAAGGGAAGCATCGACAAATTCTTATAATTAATTTTAATTAGATAAACTAGACTTCCAATAGTGGTGATTCGAGACATAATAAAAGAACAATTAAAATAGTGTGGGAAGCCAAGCTTCGGCACGAATGGGTCGGCTCGACCGGAGTGATACCACGGCCTCACAGAATACCGGCGTGAAACAACCCGTGTTGTGTTTCGCCGTATGAGTGAGGTTACCGGAGGCCCAATCCCTCCCCTTCCCTTATCCCTTTCCGATCCTTATATCCGCAACCCCTATCCCTAAAAGGCTAGCAACGCGCTCTTAACTCCTTTGGTGTTGCGGGTGTCCATGGGCGGCGCCGATTGCTTACCATCAGGTTATTCGTATGGTCGTTTGCCGACTTATACCATAAAAAAATATGTGCGAACGCCGGCGTTCGTTCGGTGAATTAAGACACTTTTCAATATCAAACAAAATGTAGCATCGCCCCCACATGGCATCTCGTGTCGTGCAATGCGCATGTATATGGGCCCCCAGCATCGCTTGAAACTAGTCAAATTCCATGTCATTCAATAAAAATGATGACTTACGCAATGATCTAAACTAATATTATAAATGCGAAAGTAACTCTGTCTGTCTGTTTTTTCTTCACGCCTAAACTTCTGAACTGATTTCTATGAATTTTGGTAGACATAGTTTGGAACTCGAGAAAGGATATAGGATAGTCTTTATACCAAAAATCTGCAGGAATTCACTATTCCACGCTAACGGAGTCGCGGGCAAAAGCTAGTATTTTATATTAAGATATGTTATAAGCGCGCAAAAGTGAAGATTCAAAAAGGATACAATTGTATGCGAGTGCATTAAGTCTACAAAAATCTCACTTAAAATAATGTTTGTTTACGTTGAGTACGTAATTGATAACAATAGCTTTTCGTTTTTTCTTGTTTTATTTATCATGCTAGCCTTTTTCTACAATTTTAACTTGTAGTGTCATGTACAATTAATGAAAAGTATGTGAGTGTGCTGACGCTTGGCGCGGAACACATTTTTCGTGCGTTTTGTGAGCGTATAACATATCTGTGTTAATATCATTGGACTTACGTAAAAACTTTAAAATATTTTCTATCAGTTTTAATTTAGTTTACAGCGCAATAATAGACCGCGATTCCGGCTTTTTTGTGAGGGGAAAGTCATCAAATGACTTCTCCCGCCCAGGGTCGGGCAGGAGGGAGTGTCAGACTCTTACTGACTAAAAACCCTCCTGTTCCCACTCCTGCTCTGGCCGAGGCCGCGGTGACTCATTGCGCTTAAACCGCAACCCCGGCTGAACATCAGCCCTGTAGGGCCCCGTCTGTGGAGGTCTATTGGCTCTGTGAGGCGCGAGCGGAACGCTACGGGCCGTACGCTCGGGTCTGATTCTGGTCGGGCGGCGAGCGACCCTTACTCGCCGTCCGCAGACCCGCGCTTACGGTGGCCGGAGATCATCTCTAGATCCCCGACGCCCGGAATGTCGCCTACTGCGGCGGACCGGGATTCCGGAGTAGGAACAACTGGTTCTTAGTTGATAAAAGTCTGACCCTTCCTCTCACCCCTCTTAGCTGAGAGAAGATGTTTGAGGATTGTTCCTGCATAAAAACTAAATAGCTACTCATGAATAACAGTCCTGCTGTGACACAGAAACTGGTAGAGCTTTATTTTGTTTTTTTTCATGAAAGTAACTAAATGAAAACTTTGTATTTATATCATGTTTGAAACTACATACAAAAATAACTCATGTCTCAAGAGACTTGTCATCATCAGCCTGATTCAGTCCACTGCTGGACATAAGCCTTACCAATTTCACCCACTGAGCTTGATGATCAGTTCTTCTCATCCAACTACTGCTGATCACCCTGTGGATATTGTCAGTACACCAAGCCAGAGGAGTCTTATAATAAAACATATTTACTGATAATATAATAACTTACTGTAAGCCCTCTAGGAACAGTTTAACATCCTCCGCATTCCATGGTTCTTTGGTAGCAGACCGGAGTCTAGAAAAGTGTCTGACTACCTCCCTCACGGCTGCAAACTTGTCCGTGTTCATTAAACTGGAGGTTCTACTGTCTGGATTACCTTCTAATTCTTTTAGGGCCACTGTATAGAGGAACATTGTGCTATTAGATTTAATTTTGAAGTGTTTTGCATGTAAGACTCAATAATCTAATTATTTTGGCTTTATTTATTTATATAAGATGTTTTCAATCAACACTACGGACATGAATGAGTGTTTATGGGTTAACTACCCAAACTTTTTGATTGTTACATATAGTGGTGCTTACATACAAATATTTATATTTTACTACAATTATAAAACAGACCGGGGTTAGCGACTTTTGGTTTAATTTTGTAGGTAATTTATAATTTAAGGTAAGCGTTAGGTTTATGCTTCAAAGAGCGACCTTGGAGCGTTAAACAGTTATATAGTAAATAACAACAAAGTCAAGAAGCATCAAACTTTTTGAAACTTTTTTCGAAATTATACTTACGAATAACAAAGGGTTTTATTTCCTTCTTTTGAATTTCTGGCGTTAATAACGATACAGCCGTCCATTGTAAGGGACTCTCTGTTAGTAATTCTAGCTGTTGTGACATCTTATTGAGCTTAGTATTTAAAATAAAGTATTAAAACATCCAAATAAAATAGCCACAATTCGTCAACAAATTGGACAACTTTTGTTGTCAAATTGACGTTTTGACAATTTTGGCATATTTCAAAATATCATAACGGAGACATTTTAGACATAAAATAACGGTTTATGAAATCGACTAAATTTTTTGTTTACGGTTTTAATTATCTATGATAGATGTAGCACATCACTACTTTTAATGGCCGCCGCTTGTTTGGCGTTGTAGTTCGTAATAATATTTTCACACAATAGCGCTTAAACGATACCAATTCTAGCCAAATTTCGCCAAATATACAAGAAAAGTTTTATTTAAGTTGTGTTTTATTGAAATGGCAGCAGTGCAAGGTGCACCTGGTAACAAAAATTGGCCTGCAAGACCCGGTATGCAACATCAGAATAGTCAGGGCCCTGCCTCAAGTATGACGCTTAACAGGACGATTAATTTGTATCCACTAACTAACTACACATTCGGGACCAAGGAGCCGCTGTTTGAGAAGGATGCATCAGTTCCCGCCAGGTTCCAGAGGATGCGGGAAGAATTCTCCAAAATTGGCATGAGGAGGTTAGTTTTTGATAAGTTTTCATTTTAAATAACACGTTACGAAAATATACGCATTATAACAGTGTTATCTAGTTCAAATAAGTGTCAAAGACCATTCTTTTCCTTATTGCCAATTTACTACACTATGTCTTTTCCCCTCAAATTACTACATTATGTGCACTGCTCGTTCCCTCCGTTATTTCTACATGGGTAAGCCGGTTGAAAGTACTTGGAAAAACTTGCTTTGTGCTGCATATGATTATTTCTAACTGCTACTACTTTTCACTAAATCTTACTGAGTAATACTCCACTTTGACTATAAGCAAATGAATTTAGAACTAAACACAACAATGTACTCCAAAGAGGCTAACAATATCTGCATATATTGTTTGCTTTTTACTTAACCTTTCAGTCATGGTATTTTGAGACACAATTAGGCAAGTGAATGCATATGGTAAAGTTTCCTCATGTGAGTGAGGTTACTGGATAAAAACCTTTTTTTATCAGCCACTAGCTACTCTCGCGCGGTTTCACCCGCTGCTCAGCACCATTTAATCGTAGCGTGATGTTTTATAGCCTATAGCACTCAGGAATGTCGTAGCTATGTATCAGTGAAAGAATTTTGGAAATCCGACCAGCGGTTCCAAAGATAACCCCCTATATACAAACTTACAAATTTTACCTCTTTATAATATTAGTATAGATTATCGTGATACTCCTGGGAAAAGGTCTCCCTACCCTTCTTTCACTCTTCTCTGCAGCAAGGTTTCTGCAGACAATCCAAAACCCTAATCTGCAGACTTGTTTCATGCCCTATCACATAAAAATATTCCATAGTTGCCATAATTCCTATAACATCAGTAATGTAAATGTTCCAGATCAGTTGAAGGTGTACTTCTGGTACATGAGCACGGTCTCCCACATGTACTGCTGCTCCAGCTAGGTACAGCTTTCTTCAAGTTGCCCGGCGGAGAGCTCAACCCTGGAGAGGTAAATTGTGTACAATGGATTTTTTTGGTTTTATTAATAGACAGAGTAAGGTTTATATGTGTAATTACACCTATTACATAGTGTAGAAATTTAAAAAGTATGCTTAACAACTTACTTTTCTAATATTTGATGGGGAACTACTAATTTCAAGCCATGCTTGTCGCTCATTTCACATACAACATAGCGAACCCAGCTAACTGTATAATAAACCTTTTACAAAACATATCTTCAAGAAGCATGCTTCAGCGCAAATGGGCTAGTTAAACTGGTGTGATACCACGACCTCCACAGGCCACTCAAAAACATTGTGTTTTGCCATATGAGTAAGGTTACAGGAGTCCCAATCCTGTCCCTTATACCCAATCCCTAAAACTCCGGCTACTCAACTCTAGTGAAGTGGGTGTCCATGGATGTTCAATCGCCATCATGTGATTTGTCTGTTTAAATACCAAGTGTGGGAGAGCCATGCTTCGGCACGAATATGCCAACACGGATGAATTGATACCACGGGCCACGGCATGTTTCGCCGTGTGAGTGGGATTATTGGAGCGCCAATCCTTCCACCCATCCTCAATCCTCAAATCTCCTATCCTTAAATCCCCAATAACCCACAAGAGGCCGGCAACGGACTTGTAAAAAACTCCTTTGGTATTACTAGTATCCATGGGCGGCGCTGATTGCTTACCATCAGGGCCTCGAGTCTGCTATTACAATTGTGTCAGAATAGTAGATCATTGGTTTCAAAATTGTTGAATTTGACAAGTTTGGTAATCTAGGTACTAACACGATAGCGTCATTATGACTTTCCAATGCCACTTCATTGAAATAATTCTTTAGAACGGTAATCTCATACATAATGACAAATGAATATTTGGCATACTGCGGTAAATTTATAAAAAAAATGTCAGTTCCTTTATTCAATGATTTACGTTTAGAATATTAATGTGCGGTTATTGTCTATAATTCGTTACAAGACATCTCGTACTATAATTATATTACGACATCGCCGAACGCCAATGATCAGCGATTTTGAATTAACAGATTACGAACTTTTAGCAAAATGACAATGGAATCGTGTAGGAATGACAACACTTTGAAAATAGTAGACTCGGGCCCCAGGTAATCCGTCTGCACGTTTGCCGACCTGTGACATAAAAAAAAGAATATCATCAAAAATGTCATGAGGTCTTTGAATAAAAGTTTTGTAACGATTTGTTTACAGGATGAAATCGAAGGTCTGAAGAGGTTATTGACAGAGACTCTCGGCAGACAGGATGGAGTCAAGCAGGAGTGGCTTATTGAGGATACCATTGGTAAGATATTTATTATTTTTATCACAAAATTTTCGAGTTTTCACGTTTAAAAGTGCCTATAGTAGTGGCCTTACTAATATTATAAATGCGAAAGTTACGATTTTTGGATGTTGGTCACTCAATCACGCGTTTTGGCTGGACGGATCTCAATGAAATTTGGCACAAGCATAGCAAACACTCCGGAATAGGACATGGGCTACTTTTTATTCCATGCAACGCGGGTAAAGCCGCGGGGGTAAGCTAGTTGGAATATAAGTGTGGGCGAGCTATGCTTCAGCACGATTGATACAACGGCCTTACAGAATATAGGCGTGATATAACTACAGCGTTGTGTTTCGCCGTGTAAGTAAGCGTTAGAGGAAATATTAACAAATATGGAATACCATTTTGATGATGGCTCAAAGAAAATTCCATATTTTCTTGTATTTCAAATGAGACTTTTTATATTTGGTGACTTTTCTTATTTGAATTGTTCTTTACTTATAACTGAATTTATAATAATGGTGCATGGTCGCCTGGAGTGCAATGTAGGCGTAGATAAGACACGTGTTTACTGGATGATCGCCTTTAATTAAGTGCTACATTATTATAATACTTACACTACTTATGGGCAGAGGTTTCACACACACTACAGGAGGTTAAAGAGACCGCTTCTCATGCATGAGGTTTCGAAACCTGGCGAGTACCAATGTGACTTTTCCGAGTTACATGTACTTTCTAGACATTAAGACACCACTGACATACGGTGAAGGAAAACATCGTGAGGAAACCTGGACTTATAATTTCTAATTATAAATTTGAAATCTCAAGTCCGCCTTGAGCAAGTGTGATGGTTAATGCTCAAACTTTCTCCGTGTAAGAAGAGGTCTTTGCTCAGCAGTGGGCACTTATAGGCTGATTATGATATGAACTGTATTTATTACTATTTTTACAGGCAACTGGTGGAGACCTAACTTCGAGCCGCCTCAATATCCATACATCCCGCCTCATATAACGAAACCGAAAGAGCATAAGCGCCTATTCCTAGTACAACTACAAGATAGAGCTCTATTCGCAGTGCCCAAGAATTATAAATTGGTCGCTGCACCTTTATTTGAACTGTATGATAATGCCCAGGGCTATGGACCAATCATTTCATCGCTATCCCAGAGTTTATGTCGATTTAATTTTGTTTATATGTAAAAATATTTAGTTTTTACTCCATACTTCAAGGTCAACCCACGAAATTTAGCGTTTTGACAATCATAGTCTATAGACGACAAAAAATAGGTTACAAAAGCTCTACTCGTTTCAAAGTCACAACGGGAGTCTTATTCATGTAAAGTATCTGTCTCAAAAGTCGAAAATCATTTATTTCAGTGAAGTGTGAAGTAACCACAGCGTTGTGTTTCGCCGTGTGAGTGAGGTTACCGGAGGGCCAATCCTTCCCCTACCCCAATCCCTCCTCAATCCCGAAATCTCCAAATCCCTAAAAGGTCGGCAACGCACTCGTAACTCCGCCGTTGCGGGTGTCCATGAGCGGCGCTGATTGCTTACCATCAGGGAATCTGTCTGCTCGTTTTCCGACACATCACATAAAAAAAAATTCAATTAGACCCTTACAGGCACTTTTGAACGTCAAACAAAATTTAAAGTGTCAGTCTGTCGGTCAGTCCTCTAGTGAAGCTATTTGCTCGTTCCAAAGTGTAGATTCCTATGGAGAAGAACGAGCAAGAAACTCCATGGTGACTCTTTATAAATCAGTTTCACATACAGATTCCTTTTACAAACAGTTGGTTCAATTATGTGAGAACAGCGTAACACTAATATTTATTCAGATAAATATAAAAAGAAAATAACCTTAAGGATAATAGACAAATCTTTTCAATAGGTACAATAAAAACCATATAATAAAAGTAATTTGATACAATTGAAAAAACATCTTAAGAAAATTCTAATTTCCTGGGTTGCCTTGAAGCATTCTTCTTTAATATAGACATTTAAAAATAACCTTTTTACAATCATTTCAATCGAATTTAATTACTAATGCAAAGCCATAAGGATTAAAAAAAACAACTGTTAATTGCAGCCACAATTTGTCCTTTCACCAATGTAATAAATGTCAAAATCGCTTGAACAGACAGTATATAAAAAGGTTTTCTTAAATATCTATCATTTTGGACGGAGTAATCATTGTAATTGTGTTGTGTAATTTTATTTAATGTTTCTAAGGACTTTTTAAATCCAGACTTATAAATGCAAAAGTAACTCTGTCTGTCTGTCTTTTCTTCGCGCCTAAACTACTGAACCGATTTGTGTGAAATTTGGTACAGACATAGTTTGGAACTCGAGAAAGGATATAGGATAGTTTTTAAACCAAAAATCTGCAGGAAGTCACTTCCACGCGAACAAAGTCGTGGGCATAAGTTGTTTGATAATATTACTAGCCTAACTAGGAGAAGGAATGGGGGGTTTTAGTCAGTTAAGAGTCTGACACTCTCTCCGACTCGACTTTGGGCAGGAGAAGTCATTTGATGATTTTCCCCTCACAATAAAAGTGTGTCTTTTACGTCAAGAAGTCATTTTATGATCACCCCCTCCAACGAAAAGGTCATTAGAATGATAAAATTACACAACACAGTTTCCTAAAGGCTGATTTTTCAATGGTTAGATAAAAGTTACCTGGTGTATAATTATGATGCTGTCGCGTCACAATGTTTGTATAAGACAGTGACAGCAACAATTTTATTTCTCACATAACGTTTATCTGACTATTGAAAAATAAGCTTTAAAAATAAAAAAGTGAGTGCGTTCGATCGAGTGTCGTGGGTTCGATGTCTGTTTAGTGTAAGTTATGATTATAAAATAGATAATGTGACTTATCCCCAACAGCTGTGTTTTATTTACCTATGTTTCTCAAGAAAGAAGATTGTTTTAGTATTTAAGTGTTATTTTTTATTTATTTTTTTATGTATTGCCAATTGTTTTCGTATTTTTGTTTGGGCGCGCTTATCTCCTGGGGCCCAAGTCTACTATTTTCAAAGTGTTGTCATTCCTACACGATTACATTGTCATTTTGCTAAAAGTTCGTAATCTGTTAATTCAAAATGGCTGATCATTGGCGTTCGGCGATGTCGTAATAGAATTATAGTACGAGATGTCTTATAACGAATTATAAACAATAACTGCACATTAATATTCTAAACGTAAATCATTGAATAAAGGAACTGACATTTTTTTATTAATTTACCGCATTATGTCAAATATTCATTTGTCATTATGTACAAGATTACCGTTCTTAAGAATTATTGGAAAGTCATAATGACGCGATCGTGTTAGTAGATTACCAAACTTGTAAAAATCAACAATTTTGAAACCAATGATCCACTATTCTGACACTATTGTAATAGCAGACTCGAGGCCCGAACTGCTAGCTCGAATTGAACGAATTATTTTTGTATTTTTCAGTACATTTTCGAGGTTATAGGCTATAAAACAACACTCTACGATCTCATATTTGTATGTATGTTTGTTTGCGATCATCTCGCGAATGGCTGAACCGATTCTGAAAGCGGTTCACAAAAAAGTAGTTCAATGTCTAAACAACCTATTTACTTGCTAAGTGTATCAAGTTTATTTTTTTGTGTTGTGCATTTAATATATGAAATTAAAGGGAAAAAATAAAATGATGATATCTATTGTGTGCAGTTGGCCATACATTTATTTGAAGACTGATTTTATCTGTGATATTAAATTATGATTTTTGAAAAATTGTATCCTATTTGGCCGCCTATTATTCACGTGAGGCTCAAAAGGGGGCAACGAAAAACGAGTACGAAATCATCTCGAGCGGAGAGGAGGTCTCGTTAGACATGACGTGTATTAATTTTATTTATTTTTTGTGCAAAAAGCGCTATTCCTAAACTGAAATTTTGTAACCTTAAATGAAATTCTTGCCACGCCGTGAAGACAGCCATAATGAATACGGTAGTTTCCAACTAGTCAAATTCAATACTTTTATCCTTAACGTCAAAAAACGATACTTTTCTATGACATTTGTATGAAAAACTGAGTTATGACGTCATAGTTTTTTTTGCGTCAAATAGCTTACATATTTCTTAATAATAAGCTAAAAACAAATCTAAAACTTAGTGTATCGATCAATCGATATTTTGTTGTATTGAAACGGCAAATTAAATTATTTTTGATCTAGGAAACTAACCAATTATTCATTAATTATAAATTAAATATAAATGTTTTTCAAATTAAAATGCCATCTTTTTATATTTTTCTCCAGTTAAAAATAGCCTTTACATAAACTACCAAAAAAATAGACGTGATCCAGGAGGGAAGGGAAGGGGTGGTTCCAAACGTCACTGAATATTACCAGGGGGGAGGGTCAAAAAATGAGAAAATGGACCTCACATGATTGATGGACGACCCCTATGTTCATTTGCGTTAAATTTGACAATTTTTATTGTATTACTGTCTGTTTGATTGATTATTACTTCAACACCTTCAAGACACGTATTTATTTTCTTGTTTTACAGTATGTAAATACATAATATATCTTCGAATGTAAATAAATTACTTCCGAATATTTTTTTTTCTAGTGTAAAATGGTTCGACCTCTGTCGTGGTCGTGAAGAGTCGTGAGTCGTGACATTATTCCGTGTCTGTTCTTTACAATAAGAATATACAACAATATTCATTATATTCTATTGAAAAATATATTCTTATTACAGAATTAAGTATACAATCGTAATACCTATATAATGTAATATAAAATCATTAAATTCGTGTCTAATTTATATGGTTATGACATTTTTTTGTCGTTATGGAAAAAATATTATTTTTGAGTGTGGATACTTCATTGTTTATTAAAGTAAGGTTTTGTTTTCACCAAAAAGTATTTAGTAAATCCTACTATAATATTTATATTAATTAATGAATTAATATTATAATATGTACAGAATAAGAATGTATGGATGTAAGTATGCTTGTTTTCTTTAACGCAAAAACGGCTAGACCGATTTGGTTGAAATTTGGTATGTAGATTACCCTGGATTAACACATAGACGGCTTTTTATTTACATTCAACATGGGTGGAAGCTTGCTAACTGTTTTTTATTGAAGACGTGAAACATAGGTATTTATTTAATTTTACAAAGTTTTTGCAAATCTGGCTTAGCCCCTATAATGAGTAGACGGATCGCCTGTTAGTAAGCGATCAGCGCCGTCCACAGACACCAGAGAAGTTTTAAAGTAGTATCGACAGTACCTAGGTATTACACAACAACAAAAAAATAGCATAATTGGTCCCGGCGTTGTTCGATTATGTGCCTACCAAAGCATTTTGTGATTTTTTTCACCATCTTCAACCTAAGTGTCCACTGCTGAGCAAAGGCCTCTTCTCACGCTGAGAAGGTATGAACAGTAACCACCACACTCGGTCTTAGCGCAATGGCGATTTCATGCTTGTAAAATTACAAGTCCAAGTCACTCGAGAGAAGTCGTTTGATGATTTTCCCCTCACAAAAAAATCCTCACAATGTATTCCTTCGGCATTTGGCCACCATTGCCAAATGCCTAAATAAAGTTAAAAAGTAGATGAAACTTAGAAAAAGTTACATTGGTACTTGTCTGGTTTCGAAACTGCATTCTCAACGCCTATAAGTGCTTACTGCTGAGCAAGTTCTCACACGGAGAAGGTATGCATTAATCACCACGCTTGCTCAAGGCAAATCGTATTTTGTAATCAATATCAAGTAAAATAATAACTATAGGTAAGTTCGGAAATTTATTATAATACAATCGATCGCTATGCTCGTAAAATAATTCAATAAAATCGATAAGTAGAATATTTTATTTCCGTTATAAGTTTGGTAAGATGTTTCGGTTGCTGTGTGTTATTTTTTTATATTTTGCTTACGTCGACAGCGAGTTGTGGAAGAAAGGAGTTGTTCATTACGCTATTAATAAAAAGGATTATGGTATGTATGTATTTAGTTAAATATGCTGAGAGCCATTGCTAAGCTCATCAGGTAATCGCATCGTACCAATTTCAGACTCATAATTTTATTTTATTTATTTTATTAGGATCTCCATCAGATAATACACATCACATGCGCAAAAATAAAATAAAATACAATAGTTTTGTGTTCCTCCATTATAGGAGGCCACATAATGCAAAAAATAATAACATTGTAATATTATTGATTAAGTATTAAAAATAAAATTGAAAATAAAAATAAGACTAAAATTAAATTATCATTAAAACAGAATAAAGATTTGAATCAAATGGAACACTAGAAATCAAATTAACACATAAACATTTTGAACATTTTGGTATGAATTAGAATTTTACAAAGAAAAGCATGAAAAAATACAAAACAATAAGTTACTTCAACACCCATGTAACAGCGAGCTGCGCGTGAATTAGGGTTTTGCATTTTACCAATTTATTGGAAAAGATATCTATGTCTGGCGAAGACTTAGCCATGGCATTATACCCCTCAATCATCCTGGCAAGTGGGGCATGCTTACCCAAATTAGTTCTGCATTGTGGAGGTTTAAATAAAGGACGAGGGTTACGAGGGATTCTAGAAGGAACATTTATAGAAACCTTACCAAGAATATCCGGGCAGTCTATCATATGGTTGAGCAATTTATTAAGAAATGTCAGGTCAAGGATCATTCGTCTAGATTTCAAATCTGTAAGTTTAAAATATTTAAGCCCGTCGTTATATGACCTAGAACTTCGCAGTTTAGATCGAAAAGCTAAATGGCGAACCAGTCTTTTTTGAACTCTTTCGATCCGAGTGACATGAAAATGATACGTAGGGCTCCAAACTGTACTACAGTATTCTAATTGGCTGCGCACGTAGCTATTACCTATACAGTATTAATATGGTAGGTATGGTATAATAAGAAATTGTCTAGATTTCCTCTTGATTTTTTCTTTCACCGTTTGTCAGCTGTGTCTAAGTCTAAGTTTGCACGCGACTAAACAGATAGGAATCCCAACGTAGGTACTATCGTGGGCAGTAGCCCGCCTGCCGTGATCATAGCTTGATTGCAAGACTCGAAGTATCCTCTCTCCTTTACTTTCTGTTCCCTAAAATCGGTTTATATATGCACCTACTACACAGAAGAAAATCCAAGTAAGCAACGCTTAAATAAATCAATCATGCCCAACCATTTTCTCAAATTGCCCTCCTGTTTTAGACCCCCATTCACAAGATGTGATAGCGTCAACTTTCGAGCAACTGGAACGGGAGATTTGTGTCAAATTTTTCAATACGCCATTAAACTATAATGCTACGGATAAGGAAAAGATTTTGTACATTGCCAACCCTGATAAGAGGAAGGATTGTCCTCCAAAACAGTACAACTATAAGAAAAATATCATAGTAAGTGTTTTTTTAACCTAGCAATTTTCACGCATTTATGTACACCAGCTATTTGGCTGCTAGAGGTCGTAACGTGATGTTCATAGCCTTTATTTATGGTATAGGTCGATAAACGAGCAGACGGATTAACTGAAGGTAAGCAATCATCGCCGCCCAAGGACATCCGCAACACCAAAAGAGTTACGAGCGCGTTGCCGGCCTTTTAGGATAAGGGTTTTGGATATTTAAGAATTGGAAAGGGATTGGTCCTCCCGTAACCTCACTCACACGGCGAAACACAACGCTGTGGTTATTTCACGTCAGCTTTCTGTCAGGCAGTAGTATCACTCCGGTCGAGGCGACTCATTTATGCCGAAGTTTAAAGCGATAGCGCTTTGGACTAAGCACCCAACACGAGAATATTTGTTAAATTTGAACCAGTAACCGGTTCTAACAAACAAATTATTCAGCGCTATAAGTCTATAACGTAAACTAGCGACCCGCCATGGCTTACACTGAATTGACATTGAAAAAAGTAAATATCTAACCAGTGCTAGTGCTTTCCACCTTTCAAAAAGAGATTCGGTGGGCGTCCCTTGTCTCATGTTTCGAATACTTTTGGCGCATAATGCGCAGCAACGCCCTAGAAATGCGCGGGTCTGCGAGTAAGGGTAACTCGTCGCCCGATCAGAACCAGATCCGAGCGTAAGGCGCGTAGCGTTCCGCGCGCGCCTCGAAGAGCCAATAGACCACAGACAGGGCCCTATATGGCTGATGTTCAGCCGGGGTTGCGGGGTAAGCGCAATGAGGCACCGCGACCTCGGCCTACAGCAGGAGAAGGAACGGGGGGCTTGTTAGTCAGTAAGAGTCTGACGCTCTCTCTTGCCAGAAGAAGTCATTTGATGGTTTTCCCTTCACAAATAAACCCGAGGACTTATTACCTATTGTATATTTCTCAGGATATGACAATTGGTTACAAATGTTTAAACGATCGCGACATTACTCGCATTGTGCTTGATATGTTGCGGGCGAGCATCGTCAAAACAGGTCAGTGTTTTACCTAAATATATTGAAAGTGCCTATTTGTAGGTAATATTGAAATAACTAAAATAATTGATGAACTGTCAAAATCAGTTATTTTTACTAGTCTATTTTAGTAATTATTTCAAGGGACCAGCTCCGGCTTTGCGCGAGTTCAATGCTTATAGTACCTAAACTAGCTACTCTCGCGCGGTTTCACCCGCTGCTCGGCTTCATTTAATCATAACGTGATGTTTTATAGCCTATAGCACTCAGGAACATTGTAGCTATCTATCAGTGAAAGAATTTTGGCAATCCGACCAGCGGTTCCAAAGATATACTCCCTACATACAAAGTTACAAATTTTGTCTCTTTATAATATTAGTCTCTATAGATTTCTCCTTATAATTAATGGATGTTATTATACATAGGTATAAACCTTCCTCTTCAATCACTCTATCCATAAACTCGCATCAAAACCCGTTGCGTAGGTAGGTTTAAAGATTTAAGCATACATAGAGATAGGTACTTAACTACTTAATAGGGACAGAAAAAGTAACTTTGTTTTATACTACATAATTATGTAGTGACTACATAATATTTTGTTCACAGAAAAACCTAATAGCAACGATTTATTACGAAAATTTCAACAATTGGTAACTATTTTATTTATTTTATCACAATTTAATTTGGTAGGTACATTTATAACCTCTCCTACAAATAATTGCTCCTTTACCTAAAATCCATATTAAGAAATGTAAAAAAACAAAGCACAATCGTACAAGTTACGCGTCTATCTGTCTCGCTCTAATTACTGACAGTTCTGAGTGATGACAAAACGATACAAGCACAGCCGCAGCGCACTGCTACTTATGTTTTTTAAAAGTCAAAGTCAAAATCATTTATTCCAACTAAAAACCATAAATAGGTACTTTTGAAACGTCAGAATAGTAGTCTGTTCGTCAGTGAAGCTAGGTGCTCGTACCAAATTATAGATTCAAATGGAGAAGAACGAGCAAGAAACTCCAACGGTACTCTTATTAAAAATAATATTTGTTTTACAATTTCAATAATATAACATTTAGTATACATTATTGTACCCTTATGTGAGAACAATGCAGGACAAGTTGTAAAAAAAAGAATGAATGATGGGATCTATCATTACTTTGTCGTCTCGAACATGGCGCTCACATATGCGTACTCACAATCTTTAAGAGTGCTTCTATAAAATCTTTCGATATATAAATTAAGAATTCATTAATTTTCATGTAAGGTCGGCAAACGAGCAGACGAATTACCTGATGGTAAGCGATCAGCTTTAGCGAACAAGGACCCGAAAACGTAGTGTGGGCAGGCCTCCCGCTAGGTGGACCGACGACATTGTCAGAGTCGCGGGGAGCTAATGGATGCAGGTGGCTACTTGTCGTTCGTCGTGGAGTACTAAGGGGAAGGCCTTTGTCCAGCAGTCCGTTTCCGGCTGATGATGATGATGAAGCGATCAGCGCCGCCCATGGACACCCGTAATGTAAAAGGGGTCACTACAAGTGCGTTGCCGGCCTCTTGTGGGTAATAACGGATTTAATGATAAAGGATTTCAGGAATGAGGAAGGGGTAGGGGAGGATTGGGCTTAACCTCATGCACACGTCGAAACACAATATAAGTGTTGCTTCAGGTCGATTTTCTGTGAGTCGTGCCGAAGCTTCATCATCATCATCATCATCAGCCGGAAGACGTCCACTGCTGGACAAAGGCCTCCCCCTTGGCTCTCCACGTCGAACGACAAGTTGCCACCTGCATCCATTGTATCCCCGCGACTCTGACGATGTCGTCGGTCCATCTAGTGGTAGGCCTGCCCACACTACGTTTTCCGGTCCTTGGTCGCCACTCTAGGACTTTTCGGGCCCAAGCGTGCCGAAGCTTGGCTCTCCCAAACTTGTGCTTTGTTTTAACTTTTGACATCGATCTTGGCCAAGCATTAAAAAGCAGATAAATACTTAATATTTCTTAGAAAGAAAAATCCAATATTGGAACTCTGCTATCAGCAACTGACAGGAATTTCATAAACCTACACTACCTAGAAGAATGCGGCAATTTGGTTCAGAAACCAGTAGAATCCCGCAGATCCAATACGGGGATTTTGGACATGTCAGCAGCTAACGAAAAATTTTATGGAGAAAAGCTGTGGCCACTTGGAATAGTTATGTATGGTATTGATCCTCAAATATGTAAGTTCATTTGTATTTTTTTTATTAAATACAAGCTACTCGCGCGTTGTTTCACCCGCTGTTCGGCTCTATTTAATCGTAGCGTGATGTTTTAGCCTGTAGCACTCAGGAACACTGTAGCTATCTATCAGTGAAAGAATTTTGGCAATCCGACCAGCGGTTCCAAAGATTACCCCCTACATACAAACTTACAAATTTTACCTCTTTATAATATTAGTAGGAATAGACTTAGTAAGCAAACGATCCGACGGATAACCTGATGGTAGGTGATCTGCAAGAAGTGGGGGTTAACGCATCTGCAGTGCTATTCTGTAAATGGTAAATCTCATCTCGAAAGTCACACACCACTTCGCTTCTCATCTCGCCTGTACACAAACGTCAAAATACTCACTGGTTTTAGTTCCTTTCACTTTGTTATTCACATGGTGGCGCCAATGTAGATTTCACTCCATTTGAGAATACGAAACTTTAAATAAACATGGTTTCACCTCGGATTCAGAAGTGCTTTCGCAAATTAACTTTTGAGAATAGCTGTTTCGTAGAAATAGCTGCTTCTCATGCATAAGAGTGCTGTTTGGAAACCTGGCAATTACCAATGTGACTTTTTCCGAGTTATATGTACTTTCTATGATTATTTAGACACCACTGACATACGGTGAAGGTTCAACATCGTGAGGAAATCTGGACTAGTAATTTCTAATTATAAGTTTGAAATCGTCAATCCGCGTTAGGCAATCGTTAAGATTAATGCTCAAACCTTCTCCGTATGTGATAAAACCTTTGCACTGCAGAAGGCACTGGTAGACTCACGATACCAGTGAACAGTGTCGCTTTTTTAACACATTTTCTTTTTTTTAATTTTGCCCCACACTAGGCTTATCCCCTGTGTCGTGGGTGCGGTTACAAACATACAATTTCACATACACATCGCACCCAGACCCGGAACAACAATTTGTGGACACAAAGAGTTATTCCGTACGGGAATCCGTGCAGTCAAAAATTATTGTTTTTAATGTTTTATTTATTATGTGGTTTCTATGTGTGTCTGTGTGTCAAATAAATATTTTTCTTTCTTCCTATCTATCTACGAATGTTCCTCAGTTCGCCTACCGGAGTTCGGCATGTTGACAAACGCGATGTCAATAATAGAGCGCTCCAGCTGTATAATATTCCAGTCTATCAGCGAGAAGGAGCCGCTGCAGCCTAAGCATTTACTATGGTTCGGGTTGCAAGGAGAGGAGACGCCAAACCTCGGGTTCACGCCAGGAAACGAGGTCAGTAATTTTTTCATTGAAAATAACGGATTATGAGGTTTCGAAACCTGGCTACTTGAGAGGTTTCCAATGTGTATTTTTCCGAGTTATTTGCAGGTGCTTTCTATGATTATTTAGACACCACTGACATACGGTGAAGGTAAACATCGTGAGGAAACCTCGACTTATGTCTAATTATAAGTTTGAAATTGCTAATCCGCCTTGAGCAAGTATGGTATGCTTCTTAAACCTTCTCCGTGTAAGAAGAGGCCTTATAAGCTGACGATGTTACTGACTGCATGGTTTGCGCGGTGTCTGGGCACTTGCCGCCGGGCTAGCGGGCTGGGCTGCCGCGCAACGTGTCGCGGGTTCAATTCGTATGATATAGGCTGTGGTTGTTGCACGCCGGTTTTCTGTGAGACTGTGGAATCACTCCGGTCGAGCTGACCCATTGCTGCCGAAGCATGGCCCTCCAAAACTTTAAAATTATTTATTTTGTATGTTCCTTTCCATTCACGGGACCACAGGGTCTCGGATCTTTGGAAGGCGTACAAGGAGCTGAAGTCAACTCGCAGCGGCCCGTTGAATAGTTTTAATATAAATGTGATGGGAGATCAGCCGGCAATTATCCCTGTATGCACTATAAAAGTGCACCCAAGTTCAATCCCCGGTTGTTGCAGGACTATTGTGAAATGTGGTAAAAATTTATAGAGTTATGGGTATGTGTTGCTATGCACTAGTGGATAACAACTATGGCAATACTATGGCCCCTGCTCCTGACCAATATTGTTACATACGGATAAACAGGCAGGGGGTGACTGGCAAACTCAATTAATGGGCCCCCGTTAACGGCCGCTAGCATGTAGCGGGGACAACATACATTGAGCTGATTGGAGAAGGAGAGGCATCCCACGGCTATCAGAGCAATCCCGGAAGTACGGTCAAGACCCCTACCAGCGCTTTACTGAGATACATCCTTCCCCCGAGTCTCCTTCAACTCCTACTCTTGCGAATCTCCACTCAAGCCAGCCAATTAAGGCAAGAATGAGGTAGGAAGGCTTGTTCCTCATCAGTGTTCACTCCAGTTATTGACGAGGGCTAACCGGAGATGAAGAACAAGACACCTCCCGGGAGTCAGGTCCGAGGAGCTCGCCTCAAGCTGCCTTGCGGATTAATTTATTTATTATTATTAAAAGAAAAATTTGTTTTCCATCAGACCATATCACTGATGCCCATGATACATGGCACTCCGGGCCATACAACGCACACTTTGAACGCGCTGATGAGAGCCCTCGGCATACCCATGATGTCCAACCGTTACGACAGAGATTACTACGTTAGAATCAATTGGAAAAAAGTTGCCATGAGTAAGTTTATCTAGAATTTTTGTCAGATTTTTTCTTTATGGAATAGGAGGCAAACGAGCATAACCTGATGGTAAGTGATCAGCGCCGCCCATGGATACCTGCAGCACCAGAGAAGTCAAAGGCGCGTTACCGGCCTTTTGGAATTAGGGTTTTAGAGATTTAGGGATTGGGGGAGAGAAAGAAAGGTATTCTCTTCCTTTTGCAAGGGTTTACGACTGACTGGTCTGGCTCACTGTCAGGTAAGCCATCTGCTAGTATACCAAAAACAGAAAAAAATAAAACGGATAATCGACTTCCGAACTTCCTTCGTAGATACTTTTTTTAATTGGTTTTGACTGCACGGCTGGGGCTAGGCAACTGGCTGCCGTGCAACGTGTAGCGGGTTCGATTCCCGCACGGAACAACTCTTTGTATTATCCACAAATTATTGTTTCGGGTCTGGGTGTCATGTGTATGTGAAATTGTATATTTGTAACCGCACCCACGACACAGGAGAAAATCCTAATGTAGGGCAACGTTATAAAAAAAAAATAAAGAAAAAATTGGTGTGTTTAACAGTGTCCGAACATTATTTGGAGCGGGAATCGAAAGACGCGTGGCTCCAGAACTCTGATGGAGAAGGTGTCCCCTACGATTACGACAGCGTAACCCACGCTCCAGCCAATTTCATGTGTGCTGATTGCTCTTTAGGAGAACAAACTGTTATTCCAATACAGGTAAGTCAGGGTTGTGAAGCAAGCGCAATCAGAGGCGGCGTAAGGCGTGGGCGAAGTGGGCCACCGCTTACGGTCTCGTGGTACAGGGGGCCTCGCGCCTCAAGAATTTTTATCTTTCGTCCTCAGGTCGCCACAGGAAAGGGCCCCATATAATGTCTTGCCCACATTAACATTAGGTCTTGCCCCGCCACTGAGCTGAGCGCAATTAGACACCGCGTCTCTGCCTAGAGCAGGAAAAGAACGGTGGGGTTTTTAGTCAATGTCTGAGAGAGAGGTCGTTTGATGATTTTCCCTTCACAAAAAAAATACAGGTCAGGAAAACTACGATCACTGAGATACTAATCAGGTAGCTCTCTAAGTAGTAAAAAAATGACTTCTCCCACCCGGAGTGGGGCGGGAAGGAGTGTCAGACTCTTACTGATTAAAAACCCCGCTCTTCTGCTCTATGCCGAGGTCGCGGTGCCTCATTGCGCTTACCCGGCAACCCCAGTTGAACATCAGCCCTATTGGCCCTCGTCTGTAGTGGTCTATTGGCCAATGTGATTTTTTCTGAGTTATATGTACTTTCTATGATGATTTAGACACCACTGGCATACGGTTAAGGAAAACATCGTAAGGAAACCTGGCCTTATTATCTCAAAAATAAATTAATCATTAAATAAAAAATCTGTTCTTTGGTTCGCACATAATCGAACGAATTTGATAAAGTACCAAAGAATCTGTATGTGAAACTGATTTAAAAAGAGTAACCATGGAGTTTCTTGCTCGTTCTTCTCCATAGGAATCTACACTTTGGAACGAGCAAATAAATAAAAATCTACACTTTGAGTAAGCGTGTTGATAATTGCTCAAACCTTCTCCGTGTGAGAAGAGGCCTTTGCTTAGTAGTGGGCACTTATAGGCTGATGATTTGTTGATAACAGGATCACCTATGGCAGAGAACACTATCGATGGGTCATCGGTCGGACCTCAGCCCCGGCGACAGACAAATGTTGGCAGCCATATACAACAAGGAATGTCAGAGACGTTTCGCATCGAATTTAAATAAATAAACATTATATTTCACATTAAAAATATTTTTTTTATTTAATACTAGCTCTTACCCGCGGCTTTTTTCCTGTTATTTGACTGCCTAATTAAACTACCCGACCTAGTTACCTACAGTTCTCATCCTACACCATGCTCTACCTACCTACCCTATCCTATGTCCTTCTCCCAGTTCTTAGCTACCTTCCTACCAAAACTTCAGCCAAATCGGTTCAGCCGTTCTTGATAGCTATATAGATTAGCTATTGCCCCGCGGCTTCACTCGCTGCTCGGCTTTTATTGGTCGTAGGCTGATGCCTATGGCACTCAGAAATATTGTAGCTATCTATCAGTGATTTAAACCCCCTACATACATACAAAGTTAAAAATTTTATCTCCTTGAAAAAATAAACCTGAAAATTACAAAGACAAAATATTTATGATATTTTATACCTATAGGTAACTAATATTTGACAGCACGGTTGGGGCAATGGCTGGGCAACTGGCTGCTGTGCAATGTGTTTCGGGTATGATTCCCGCTTGGAACAACAGTTTGAGATCCACCTATTGTTGATTCGGGTCTGGGTGGCTTGTGTATGTGAATTTGTATATTTGTAAACGCACCCACGATACAGGAAAAATGCTAATGATGGGCATCTTTCTAAAAAAAAATCAAGCAAAATTGATGCAGATGTTATCAAAGTTAGAAAGCTGCCCTCGACTTTTCTTATAACTGTATTATAATGGTTTTTGGCCGATAAGGGTGTAAGGGTGTATGCTTGTTGAGAAAAGGGGCGTAAAATGAAACTCTTTTCTGAGTTTGACGTTTATTCATGTCACAACCATAGAGTACCTATATACCTAAACTTTTCGTCACAACAGATTCTTGTCAAGTTTTAACACCACAAATGCGGTTGGCAACGCTCTTGTATAAAATATACATGGCAGGCTCCGATTGCTTACCGTCAGGTAATCCGTCTGCTCGTTTATGTCATAAAAAAATGAATGATAATTTATTATCATTTAGTTAAAATTATCCGACATCAAAGTTTCCAAACTAACAAAATGGTCGGCGGAAAAAAATCAAATAAAAAAAGTTTTCACATTTTTATTAATATATTTATTAACATCATATCTACATTAACATAGAAATATACAGGTTATATACAAATATTAAGGTTTTTTTGGGAAGAGAAAATTATTAGATGGTTTCTTCCGCCCATGGTGAGTCGAGGCAGCCGGTTTTTTTTATCGTAAAAACGTTGCCCCACATTAGGATTTTGTCCTGTGTCGTGGGTGCGGTTACAAACATACAATTTCACATACACATCACACCCAGACCCGGAACAACAATTTGTGGATCACACAAAGAATTGTTCCGTGCGGGAATCGAACCCGCGACACGTTGCACGGCAGCCAGAAGCCCAGCTTCCGCACCAACCGTGCAGTCGGTTAGTTTGGCCTGGAGTAGGAGAAGAAACAGGAGGGTTTTAGTCAGAAAGAATCTGACAATTTCTCCCTCCGAATTTAGCCATTCGATTAAACGGTTAATCATTCAGGTCGTTGGTTGGCTGGCTAATAGATACTACTATTTTTTGCGGTAACCAAACAAGTTTTCCGCCCTAAATATGCAGTGGGGACATGTCGCACATTCTCACCTAATCGCAAAAAAGCTATTTGGAACCTGTTTGTTCATCAAAAGCGCTGAGGATACGAATTGGAGTTTCCTAAGTCAAAAATAAATAAATCCGACGTTTCAATACTTTCAATTCAATAAAATATTGAAAATAACTATACTTTTATTCATTAATCGATCGATACACTAAATTTTAGTGTTTTTATGCTAATTATTAAAAAATAAGTAAGCTATTTGACGCAAAAATGTTATGACATCATAACTCAGTTTTTCATACAAATTTCATAGAAAATAATCGTTTTTTTTGGCATTTGGATAAAAGTATTGAATTTGACTAGTTGGAAACTACCGTATTCTTTTACTTTGACTATTCCCCGAAGGACATTAAGCCTGCTGGCTGTCAAGCCCCGAGTAAATTCATATGTAGATAGATTGCTAATAGGTAAGCGTAAGTCATCGTTGGTCGCATCATAGCTTACCATCAGGCGAGATAGCGGCCAAACGCCAGCCAATCTATATTATAAAGGAAAGTCTTGTTAGTTACACTATTTATAACTCAAGAACGGCTGAACCGATTTGGCTGAAAATTGGTTAGGGTGGTAGCTAACAACTGAGAGAAGGACATGGGATAGGATAGATAGATAGATAGAATACGGTAGGTGGAGTAGGGTCGGTAGAGTACCTACGGTACGTAGAGTAGGGTAGGTAGAGAAAGTTAGGTGGAGTACGGTAGGTAGAGTAGGGTAGGTAGAGTAGGGTACGTAGGGTAGGTAGAGTAGGGTAGGTAGAGTACGGTACGTAGAGTAGGGTAGGTAGAGAAAGTTAGGTGGAGTACGGTAGGTAGAGTGGGGTAAGCAGAATAGGGGAGGTAGAGTAGGGTAGGTAGTCAAATGACGGGAGCGACGCCGCAGGTAAGAGCTAGTTGCAAATAAAAGATGAGAATTATGACACCACTAAATATATTGTTTTTTTTATAGGTAAGTAAATAAAATAAGAACAGATATGACGACTAGCTTTGTACAATAAGGTAGATTAGTTTCGTTACAGCAGATATTTTAAAGACCTAAGTTTCCACAACACATTTAATATAAGGATGAAGAAAAATCATTAGGTAAGTTCAAAGAAAAAAACTATATTTAAGTCTGATTTAACACATAATTATGACTCCAAGGTATTCGAGCTACATCTTTGCAAGACGAAATATGTTTTTTATAAATTTCATTATTATCAGCAAGAAAATTACAAGAATCACAAGGTAAAATTACCGCCTTTTCACATTTTTCACAAGAGCTGCCCGTGCCCGTTCCGTTTTCGGTTTTTAAACTATCACAGTCGCAACTTTTTAGTCGATTTTCTTCGCCCACCACTTCAGTTGTAGTACCGATTTCATTTGCTTCATTATCTGTAATCTCCTCTTTGACATCTGTCATCGAAATGGCGGGAATCGGGCTATCACCTTTTTTTAAACGCTTACTACTTTTGCATTGTTTAAAAAAATCATCTAATTTACCGCGAACACTATCTACGACTATGTTTTTTGAATTTTCCGCTGATTTTAGTTCATTGCCTAGGACAGAGTCGTTAATAAATTGTTCGGGCCTTATTTTACGTACGGTAATTACTTTATTTGTATTTGTTTTTTTGATAATTAAACCCGCAGTTTTTGACTTATTACTATTGGTAAGAGTAAAGTCTGTATTACATTTAACATGTACACTATTTAAATTAGAAATTTCATCAGAATTTGTGTTAATATCTCCTACACTAATATTACATTGAGAATTTAAAACTGCTATCTTCTTGTCAATAGTAATGTCACTATTCATTGCATATTCTTCTTTAATTATCGGTTTAATATCAACTGGAGATGTTGTATCACCAATTTTATCCGTTTTTTGTACGATTTCACTATCACAGTCTAGAAAAAATTCTTGTTTCACTACACTTTCGGTTTTTGGTTCAGTTTTAACTATTGTTTCGATGGGTATATCCATATTTTCGAGATTTTTAAGTATTTCTTCTTCATTGAAACTTAAATCTGAGATTTCTCCTTCGCTTTCTGAAAATTTCATAACAGCCTCGTCAACGGTTCCTTGTTTCGCCAAATCGCCATTTTGTTTTAAATTCTTGTTCTTTATATTGCCAAGTACATTCTCGAGTTTTAACTTTTTCTTTGCGAATTTTTCATCTTTTTTCTTATTTGCTGTTTTAAATTGTTCGATTTTATTGGCCGTGTCAGTTGTAGGGTTGATGAATATTTTACGTTTTTTACTTTTGCTTGTCTTCTCTGCTGGTGGTTCTGGTGACACCATGATTATAGCATCTGGAATAAAAATATTTATGTCAACTGTATTCTTATTCTTTATTAAAATTTGGACAGAACAATTATAGGCCAGTAGGTAAAACTTTTAGGTTTGTATGTAATCTTTGGAACCGCTGGTCGAATTGTTTTGGCAATTCGACCAGCGGTTAATACTTTCACTGATAGATAGCTACAATATTCCTGAGTAAAATAGGCTATAAAACATCACGCTACGACAAATAGGAGCCGAGCAGGGGGTCAAACAGTGGGGCAGTACCTAGTATCAATTAAAGATAATTTACCTTCACTATAGTCACCATCAGGAGGATCTTCCCACCACACCGGGCTGGGACACGTCAGGATCTCCATGAAGTCCTCATCACTTAGACTTCTGGACTCTTCCATCATGCGGACCATTTCCTGGACCGACGGTTGCGGACTACTGGACTGTGGTAATTTCTTATTCAGAAACTTCTGCTGGGTAGGTGATGGGGTTGGAAGTGGTGGAGGCGATTTTAAACCTGTAATGAGATTTTTAAAACTTATACTTGACCTCATGACATTGACTTTTGTTGTATGGGAGAGCCAAGCTTCGGCACGAATATGTGTATGTCGGCTCGATCGGAGTGATGCCACGGCCTCACAAAAAATTGGCGTGGAACAACCACAGCGTTGTGTTTCGCCGTGTGAGTGAGGTTAACGGAGACCCAATCCCTCAAGAGGCCGGCAACTCACTCGTCGTAACTTCTATAGTGTTATCTATTCATATTGCGAGTATAATTATGACGCTGATTGCTCTCCATCAGGTAATCCGGTGGCAAACGAACGTATGACATAAAAAAACCAATTGGCAAGGACTAAGCGCATTCAGATTTTTAGACAAACGCTCCGTATATTGCGAAAATATGCAATCCGAGCGTACTCAGATTGCATATCCAATCAGAGATGATACGGTTCAATGTTCTCGAGTGCACTTGAATCTATACTATATAATATTATAAAGCTGTAGAGTTGGTTTGTTTGTTTGTTTCAACGCGCTAATCTCTCTAAAATTACTGGTTAGAATTCAATAATTATTTTTGTCATCGTTAGTACAATTATCGAGGAAGGCTTTAAAAGGTTATAAAACATCATGCTACGATTTATAGGAGCTGAGCAGCGCGTGAAACCGCGCGACTGAAGCTAGTCGAAAATAAATCTCGATGGAAGAATGATCAAATTACCTTTCTGTGGCGTGGCCATTTTTCTTTTATTTGTGCTGGCAATAACTGTAAAGTTGTGTTTCGGTTTTAACCTAATTTTCTTGGCAGCAACATCCCTTTTCAACTTATCAGGATAGTACTCCACTTGCTCAATAACATCATCCGGAATTTTGATAGGTTCACTTAGAGCCTCTTTCGGACTTTTATCGGTTTTCACTTTAGTCGATTTTATTTCATCTTTATCTTTATTACTTTCCGGTTTTTCGGTTTTCTTTTCTTTGTTTTTTTGTTGGCGTCTTTGTTGCGCTGATTTCGTTCTTGTAATAACCGGTTCTACTTTGGCTCGAGTTGCTACTTTACGTGAAGTTTTTGTCGACATTCTGTAAAAAAGATATCAACTATTTACCTATTAAAATTATTATGGTCTATCTATTTTATTTAAAAAAAAAAACGTTGAAAAAACACATTAGCGTTTTCTCCTATGTCGTGAATGCGTTTACAAACATTAAAATACACAAACACATCACACCCAGACCCGAAACCACTACTTGTAAATAACACAAAGTGTTGTTTCGTGCGGAAATTGAACCCGCGACACGTTGCACGGCAGCCAGTTGCCCAGCCACCGCGCCAACAGTGCTATTTCACTGCACGGTTGGCGCGGTGAACTCTTTGTGTGATCCACAAATTGTTGTTCCGGGTCTGGGTGTGACGTGTATGTGAAATTGTATGTTTGTAAACGCACCCACGACACAGAAGAAAATCCTAGAGTAGGGCAACCTTATTTAAAAAAATACAAATCTATTTAATTGGTTTACTAAATGTAAACAAACAATCTTGGTATGCCTTTTTATATAAAAAAAGTCGTATGAAATACATACAAATATTATTTAGTCAAACCGAGGTACATAGTGCACCCGCAAGGTTGCTACCCCCGCTGAAGATGAAATTGAGGTGCTCTAGCAATCCACAGATGAGGCACAGCATGGCCAATTAGCCGGCTTTAGTCGGGGCGTGGGTAAAGCGCAATAAGGTAGCGTAGCGCTGAAGCAGGAGAAGGACCGGAGCGTTTTGCAGTCTGACACTCCCTCGCCAGTGTCACTCGCCAGGGTATGGCAAGAGGGAGTGTCAGACTCTTTCTGACTAAAAATCGCTGAATCGCGGGAAAATCATGACAAGAGAATGTTTTTCCCTCCACAAAAATAGGAACTGTATCGGTTTGTTCACAAAACAAATGACTGACACTGAGGTAGTTGGACATGCATGCAAAGCAGGATTAACAGCTAGTTATTAACGACAACAATAGCGTTTTGGGATAAAGAAGTAAATTGTACATAATTGATGACTAGCTAACGCGGCGAACTCCGTACCGTCTCAAATATAACAATTTCTTCGAACCTTTCAAACCTTCCTTAGACTTCAATGAATATTATAAAGCCAAAAAGGGGACCAGCCGTTCTCGAGTTTCATCGAGGCTAACAAACGACAATTCATTTTTATTTAAAAGATATAACTGTCTAAATAAATATATCCCTTGTCCTTGGTGTTATTACATTTACACGTGTCTTTACATAAATGTCAGTAATACACCTACACTATTCTCACATAGTGAAACCAACTTAGTAATAAAACAAAGAATTTAATTTTGAAATTAATCCAAAAAGGGAGTAACCATGGAGTTTCTTGCTTATTATTCTCCACAGGAGTCTATACTTTAGAATGAGGAGTTTCACTGGATGACTGACTAACAGAGACATTTTCATCTCTAAATCTATGTTTGACATTTAAAATTGCTTATAATATGAATAAGATGTCTTTGAATTAGATAAAAGTGAATGAGGTGTCAAGTGATAAGTTTAGAAAATAGTTTTCTTTGGGAAACTTGATTGTTATTATTAATAGTACTGTCATATGGTGAAGGAAAACATCATAAGGCAACCTAGACTTATAATTTCAAATTGTAAGTTTGGAATCAATAAAATGCAAACCTTCTCCGTGTGAGAAGAGGCCTGTGCTCAGCAGTGGACACTTATAGGCTGATGATGATGTAGACAATGTAGTTTTTTATATTTTATTTTAAAAAAAACATACCAAACATATTTCTGTCTGTGAATACCTATACATGTAATAACAGAAACTAAGAAATAATTGATTAAATATATTGATTGATTGATATAAAGAAATCTAAATCTATACTTATATTATAAAGAGGTAAAATTTGTAAGTTTGTATGTAGGGGGTTACCTTTGGAACCGCTGGTCGGATTTCCAAAATTATCATACCTAATATCATTTCCAAAATATTATAATTTTTACACAAGTTTTAGATACGGAGACATGCCAAGATTGTTTACATTTTGTTAATTATGGTACCTACCTAAACTGATATGCCATAAATGTTTACCAATTAACATTTTTAAGACAGCCTTAAACATGATGAACAACTTTTTGGACAGTAATATAACATGTCATTGTGGAAAATGCTAGTGGAGGATTTGCCCACAACAGTATATTTGGGCAGTCAATGACATAAACATCTCCCTATAAAGTTAGAATTGTGGATAGAGAAGAATTAATTCTCATTTATACATCAATACAAAATTGCTTTCTCTGTCCCTATCCTATATCCCTATGTATGCTTACATCTTTAAAACTAAGCAAAAGATTTTGATGCAGTTTTTTTAACAGATAGAGTGATTGCAGAGGAATGTTTATATGTATAACAATATCTATAAAATAATGAAGAAATTTAGTATTAGCATTACACCCATGCAACAAGAGTAGGCAGTGCACCCGTGTAACACTAGTAAATAAAAAATATATTATTAACTTAAATGTATGTAGTTTTGATCCAGTATGGATTAGTTAGGCCTCTTATTAAATACCTAATTTATTACCCACCACAATAATATTGTCATACCTAATTAAATATGAAAAATTGGCCTGACATTATTATGACCAAAAACTTTGTAGAGGTGCTATTTCTTAAATCCTACACAATTTAGAAATACAGATAGTAGATAGTATAAAACAGTCATTTAAAATTAACTTACCTATCAAAATACAACCTCTTTACTACAAACTATTAATAAAAAAAACTTTTTGTTTAAAACCTTCATGCCTAGGCTAGTTTCCATATAAAGCCTAAAGATGGCGACACTGGTTCTAGTACTATCACATATCTGTAAAACCACCTTTTGAACCATATGTTTCAAAATTTCCTCAAGTAAAATATATTTTAGTTCATCAAAAAGTTGTTACAGCTTTGGTCCATGTTATAGTAAGCATGAGGATAGTAAGCTGTGATACAGAAAAAAATATTGTTACCTATGTGCTATCCTCGTCATTTTCCAAAGGAAAGTAAGAGATAGAGTTATCAGGTGTAAAACGAAAGTAACAAAATACTAGAATACACATTTTATCATGGTTCGTAGGCACCCTTTGGGGCAGAAGAGAAGACGGATACATTTAAAAACATACTTTATCTCATTAACTTAAGGTATTTCTTACCTAAACAACAGAAACGGTACAAAACCTTGTAAAATAATTACGCAAACACGATAGTATTATAGTACCATTTTACCTGCTAAATTGTTGTACTCAGAGGCAAAGCTGTCCTTTAAATCCACTTGTAAACTTGTCTACAAATCTTCGTAATTAATGTTTCACACACAATTATTACGATTTTTTAGTTCACTAACACGTAAATCACGACATTTTAATTCATTATATTCGACGTGCAGTATGATGGATGAAGACGGGGAACGGGGATTTGAGACTAGTGATGTACAAAGACCGACTTGTGTCATTCTTGTAACTCAAAGTCGATTTAATAGTCGATACCTTTCTGAGTAATCGATAAAAGATCATAGCGAAGAATATGTGTTGTTTTGTGGTTATCATTTATTTTACCGTGGTACTACACTAAAATAGATAAATAGTAAGTTCTTATGAATTCAAAAATACATTAAGAAAAATCGACGTGGATGCACTTCACACCGAGACCTGATTTGTATATTTTGGTTTATTTGCATAACGAACGACTCACAAAACTACGTGATACCCGTAATATATTTTATAACTTTACATAACTTGGTTTTTATTCTGCTGTGGGCATCTAAATGCTGAGAATGATAATGGTGAAATTAAAATTGTTTATATGCGAGATATTCGCAATAAAAACTGATTACCGTAGCTGTTAGTTTATTATTATATTCAACTGGCACAAATAATTTTTTCTTATCTTCTAGTCACAGTAGTATAAAACAAAGTCGCTTATCTGTCCCTTTATCCCTTTGTATGCTTAAATCTTTGAAACTATGCAAAGGATTTTGAATCAGTTCTTTTAAGTATTAAAAAGATTGACGAAGAGGAAGGTTTCTATGTATAATAACATCCATGAAATAGTGGATAAATTCAGTATTGGCATTGTACCTATGCAAAGCAGGGGCGGGTCGCTAATTGAAAATAAACGTAAAACTTGATTTCATTAAAGATTGCCTACTTATTTACTTGTTAACTAAAAGCAATAAAAGTCAATCACCTTGTCATTTCCAATAAAAATATTAGCCGCCATTCATTCAATATTATGGCGTCGTTGTTTCGTTTTTCGTATTTTTTATTTATCGTATCTTTACAAGAAATTAGAACTAGTGTTAATTTCGTTGTGCCCAAAATAAATGCAACGGACAATGATAAAAAAATCGATAATATTAAAAAACTTTGTAAGAATCGAGATAAGGTGTGCAAGTCGAATGAAATAAATATCTGTGCCGTTAAAGTGATTGAAAATAAAAAACATTTCAAGGACTTTGAAAATGGATGCTATTTATTTTTAAGCAATTTGTGCGACCATCCCACCGAAGGTAGTTATTACGATACGTTTTTCTAAATTTACACATTTAAAAAATTCAACAATATGGAAACCAAACAGTTCTATTTCTTTGTGACCAAGCCTTGTTGATGTTATGAAACGGAGTATTGGGCATTTTTCAATTTCAAATTTAAGACACCTTTCTTTGAATTTTGTGCGAGATCGCTTTCTTGCGTGACATACTTCAGTACAGCTTGGATAGGTACTTGGAAAAAAGAAAGTCGAAAAATGGTGGTCGCTACTAATTCACATAATAACCATGGCCACCCCAAATACTGCAGGTTCACTGATCTTGACACTTTATTTTTTTTTTATTACCTATGGCAGTAATTTGGATTAGTAATCTTACTAATCTTACTTCTAACTAATATTATAAATACGAAAGTTACGATGTTTGGATGTTTGTTACTCAATCACGTCAAAACGGTTGGGCGGATTTGGATGAAATTTGGCACAGGCATAGGATACACTGCGGAATAGGAAATAGGTTACAAACAATTTTTATCAACATACCACGCGGGCGAAGCCGCAGGCAGAAGCTAGTTTTTTATAGTTACTTATTTATTATTGCTGAGCACACTGTCGCGAGTTCGCTCCCGGAAAAAAAATATACAATAGTAATTAAAAACATTGTAAAATTTTGTAAGTATGGGAAACTATTTTGGATTGGGGTTGTAAGGATTTTGGGATATACCTAGAGATGGCATATTACGGTGGGAGGTTTGGGCCTCCGGTAACCTCAATCACAACAGCACGGCATTATTTCTTTCCGGTTTAAATTTTGTGGCGCCCGCTCCTCATGCACGAGGGTGCTGGACGAAACCTGGTAACCAAGTTCCAATATGACTTTTACTAATTTATATTGTACTAGCTACTCTCGCACGGTTTCACGCGCTGCTCGGCTCCATTTAATCGAAGAGTGATGTTTTATAGCCTATAGCACTCAGGAACATTGTAGCTATCTATCAGTGAAAGAATATTGGAAATCCGATCAGCGGTTCCAAAGATTACCCCCTACATACAAACTTACAAATTTTACTTCTTTATAATATTACTAGCTTTTGCTTGCGACTTCGTTCGCGTGGACTTCAGGTTCGTCCCGTCTAGTCTAGTAATAAGTAAGAAGTACGGTAACTAAGCACTTCAGAGCCCTAATCATAGGTCTATAGGTAGCTACTGCAGTATGCTCCTATAAACTACATTTAACGATCTTTTTCCTTCAGCATAAACATGCAGATTCTTCGCTTTGGAAACGTAAAAAATGTGTTTTTTTACGACCTCACATTAGAAACCTCAAAAATTGTAGCCTATGTGTTATTCTGATGTATAAGCTATAATGTGGTAAAGTTTATACAAAACCATTCAGTAGTTTTTACGTGAAAGAGTAACAAACATCCATACATCCATACTTACAAACTTTCGCCTTTATAATAGTAGTAGGATTTACTTCCTATGATTATTTAGACACCATTACTCAGCAGTGAGTACCTACTTGTAGTTTTTTTTGTGGAGGGAAAATGATTGATTTAGTTCTCTCGCCCAGGTTTGAGGCGACGCCTTCTCGCCTCAGACTAGCTTATTACGCCTTACGGCGTCCCTGGCTAGGGCACCAATAACCTAATGACGTGATGTCATGTTTGTAGAGTACTTAATAATCAGCACTGGGACTTGCAACGAGTACTTGTCATTACGGCGAAGTGCCGAGACCACCGTAGCACCGAAAAATGCAACAGGACCATTTTCCAATGGCACTCATGGTTCGGGGAACATCAGTTATACAGGTATATATTTAAAAGTCAAAGTAATTTATTCCAATTAAACCATAACCATACTTACGTAATTTTGAAACGTTTAAGCGCAATGAGTCACCGCGGCCTCGGCCCAGAACAGGAGAAGGGACGGGGGGGTTTTTAGTCAGTAAGAGTTTTTCACTCTCTCTCGCCTAACCCTTGGCGGGAGAAGTCATTTGATGATTTTCCCCTGACAAAAAAAGGTACTTTTGAAACGTCAAAATAATCTACTAAGTACTACTTTATAATAATCTGTGGTCAATGAAGCTGGCTCGTTTACACCATAGGGCGAGGCCTGCGGACGAAAGACTCGGAGCATCTTGTCGTCCGATCAGCAGCAGGCCTAAAGGTAGCGGCGCTGTGTTCCGCGCGCGCCTCATAGTGGAGTCCTGCGGTTAGGGTGACGGCCGCATTGGGTGACAGGCCAGTACCTGTCATGGGGTTGCGACTAATGCTTCGGATATACCCATGTGTAGGAGGGGCACCCGCCCCTCCTACACATGGGTAAATGGAGGAACACCGGGTTGGTTTTTTGTCAGTAAGAGTCTGACAGTACCTTTCGCCCTACCCCGAGGTCTTCATAACGATTTTCCAAAAGCAGGCTTGTCCCAAAGTGTAGATGCAAAATGAGAAGATCGAGGAAGAACTCGATCGTCACTCTTTTTTTAAAGCCAAACTTTTTTAAAGGAATAGGAGGCAAACGATCAGACGGATCAGATTCAAAATGAGGTAATCCGACAGAGAACTAAAGTTATCGACGTAGCCCAAAGGATTAGCAAACTGAAGTGGCAGTGGGCAGGTCACATCTGTCGAAGAACCAATGACCGCTGGGATAAACGTGTTCTAGAGTGGAGACCACGTCTAGGCAAACGTAGTGTAGGGCGCCCTCCAGCTAGGTGGACTGACGACATCCGCAGGGTGGCTGGCAGTGGTTGGATGAGAAGAGCTGAACATCGAGCTCAGTGGCGTGCAATTACGGAGGCCTATGTCCAGCAGTGGACGACATCAGGCTGATGATGAAGTAATAAGTGCCTCCAACACACACCTGCAACACCACAGGAGTTACAGGCGTGTTGCCGACCTTTTATGAGGGGTATGCTCGTTTCTTGAAGGTTCCGGAAATGTTACTGTGGGCGGAAAAAAGTTAAGGATAAATCGTACAGTTGTTGACTGCCATCCATCTACATTTTGGCAGTCAAATATTACTATCTATAGTCAGTACCTAAGAGTCTGACAATCTCTCCCGCCCCACCCTAGGCGGGAGAAGAAATTTCAAGATTTTTCCCTCACAAAAAAAACAGACCATAGAAAATAATCAATATCTCCATGTTACGAACCAAGGTAAGGCGAGACAGAGTGTCAGACTCTTATTGTCTAAAAACTCCCCTGTTCCTTCTCCTGTTTTGTGCCGAGGCCGTGGTGCCACATTGCGCTTACCCCGCAACCCCGGCTGAACATCAGCCCTGTAGGGCCACGTCTGTGGTGGTCTATTGGCTCTTTGAGGCGCGCGCGGAACTACGCACCGTAGTCGGTCTTTCTTATTTTCTGTCCAAATTGCTCAAAGACACTGTTTAAAAACTTATTGTCGATTTCACAGCGACTGAAGCAGCACTACGGCAGGCTGAGACAACTTACTTCGTGGACGAGGCGTTCGATGGGCATCCTTGTCCATACGTGTGTACCGACTTTTATAGTCCCTGCTGCTTAATCATTAACTTTGACCTCGGAAAATATTTCAAGATGCTCACATTTATGAATCACTGCTTGGCCGACCTGTATTATTGTAAAAATTATTTAGGTGAGATTCTATTTTAAACGATTTCTTAGTTATTTAACGAGATATCGTTAAGTTTCTCAACGAATTTCTAGATTGCCTAACTGCGTCAATGTCGTGGTGGCCCGGAGGTTAAGGAGCCCGCTTCTCATGCATGAGGGGGTGGGTTCGAAACCTGGCAAGTACCAATGAGACTTTTTCCGAGTTATATGTACTTTATATGATTATTTAGACACCACTGACAAACGGTGAAGGTAAACATCGTGAGGAAACCTGGACTTATAATTTCTAATTATAAGTTTGAAATCGCCAACCCGCATTGAGCAAGCGTGGTGATTAACGCTCTAACCTTCTCCGTATGAGAAGATACCTTTTGCTCAGCAGTGGGCACTTATAGGCTGATGATGATGATGATGAACTGCATCAATACGGTAGTTTCCAACTAGTCAAATTCAATACTTTTATCAGAAAGTTACGATGTTGGGATGTTGGTTACTCAATCACGCCAAAACGGGTGAACGGATCTGGATGAAATTTGGCACAGGCATAGGATACACTCCGGAATAGGACATAGGCTACTTCTTAACATATCACGCGGGAGAATATGCGGGGAAGCTAGTATATATATAAACTAGTCTCTACTAATCCCGCGCGGTTTCACCCGCTGCTCGGCTCCATTTGATCGTAGCGTGATGTTTTATATAGCCTATAGCACTCAGGAACATTGTAGCTACCTAACTGTGAAAGAATTTTTGCAATCCGAACAGCGGTTCTAAAGATTACACCCTACATACAAACTTACTAATTGTACCTTTTTATAATATTAGTATAGATAGATGTCACTCACACACAGTAAAGCCGGCCTCCTAGATTGCACGATTTGATTCCGCCATCCCCATTTCACCTTCGGACATCCCGGCGTACGGCAAGTATCCACCCTTACGTTGTTGAGACACCTGCGGCCCGGACTAAGCGTTTTGCCTCGTCATTTATACCGCGTACATCGAGGGATTGGAACAGTTTGCCGGCTGCAGTCTTTCCGTCCGAATACAATTTAGGTGTCTTCAAGGCTAGAGTGAATAGGCTCTTAATAAACTAGTGCGTCTTACCATTAACGATTGCATCACTGCTTACCATCAGGTGGGATCGCAGTCAAGCACTAGTTTATTGCAAGTAAAAAAAAAAAGCTGTGCAAAAGTCTAGCGTGTTTGACCAGACCTCTTGTTGTAGAACTGGAGCTGCCACCGGGCGCTGATCAACCAGGAGTAAGAGGTTCGTCGCTGTGTTGGAATCACTGCAGCGCAATCAAGTAATGCTATCAATATTTACATATATACATAATTCATTATAATGTTCTCATTTATTGGATAGATTGGCTTTAGAGCACACGGATATACTGATGGTTAGACGTCGTAGGGTGGCTGACCTGCGGCCATCGTAGGGCGCGACCTGCGGCCACCGTAGGGCGCGGCCTGCGGACGACAGACTCGGGGCGTCTTGTCGTCCGACCAGCAGCAGGCCTCGAGGCGGCAGCGTAGTGTTCCGCGCGCGCCTCATAGTGTAGTCCTGCGGTCGGGGTGTCGGCCGCAGTGGGTGACGGGGCCCGCCAAACCATCTGGCGGACCAATACCCGTCGTGGGGTTGCGATGAATGCTTCGGCGATACCCGCCCCTCCGACACATGGGTAAATGGAGGAACACCGGGTTGGTTTTTAATCAGTAAGAGTCTGACAGTACCCTTCGCCCTTGGAGGATGGTGGGTCTCCATGAGGATTTTCCAACCCGACACCAAAATAAAAAAAAATACAAAAAATAACCGCCTTCAAAAAAAGTCAAGCAATAAAATTTCCTACACTAAAAAGTAAAAAATAAAAATTTGAACTGCTGTAAAGAAATTTAATTTATAGGTAAACTTATTTGTCATTAATATTTTGCAAATATTCAAAATTTATTACTTACTAGGAATATGCTTCCATATCCTTTCAATCATAAAAAAAAATTGCAAATCCGTCCATAAACGACGGAGTTCTAAGGTAACAAACATAAAAAAAAATACAATCGAATTGAGAACCTCCTCCTGTTTTTGAAGTCGGTTAAAAAAAACTCATAAGACCTTATTACAAAACAAGGTTTTTCTTTGAAGTCTGGGTCAAAACCATTGAGTCAGTTTTTGTCAAATTGAATTGACGTTAACGTCGCGTCCAGCGGATGTTAAGGCTTGTCACGTGACGACGCGGCGTCCATGATGCCCTAGTATAAAGTCTAGTTGTATAGCGGACATATGGTATTTTGGAGGTATGAGGAACAGGGTGGTAAGTTCCTCATCCTCCATTGAAAAGGGAGGATCCTCCGACCAGGCGAGGTGTTCGTGCCTGGTGGGCTACTGCCCGACGGTTGTTGTCGGGATATCTGTATAGGTGCTAATTGTGTGGAAAACTCTTATAGCGCGATGTAGACTCTTGCACGTGATTGGTGCTGTTGTTTATGTAGTGCGCTAGATGTCGCTACAGTATAATTATTTTTATCGCAGATACGTCGAGTTTTCTGTGTTTGCCGAAGATTTGTCGTCAATGGGTCATTACGGTTGGCTGCACGGTGATTACAAATTCTCACACATTATGGAGCCCCATGAACGCACACCCGGCTTTGGATGATCAGAATCTCTAAATGGAGAACTTTACTTGGAAAAAAATAAAACTATAAAAATATATCAAACTTTTATTTTATTATGTTATAGTAGTAGTAATGTCTGGCAAGTACCAATGTGACTTTTTCCAGGTTATATGTACTTTCTATGATTAAGTATTTAGACACCACTGACATACGACGGTATAAGAAAACATCGTGAGGAAACCTGGACTTACAATGTCTAAATATAAGTTTGAAATCGCCAATCCGCCTTGAGCAAGCGTGGATAATGCTCAAACCTTCCCCGTGTGAGAAGAGGCCTTTGCTCAGCAGTGGGCACTTATAGGCTGATGATGTAGATGACGGATTGATTGGATCTTCAGTAACCTCAACCACGCAACCCTGTGTGTACTATGAAGTGTGTATTACAGGTCAGCTTATTCCTGCCGACGCATTGCTAAGTTGAAATTTCTATTTAAGACAATCATTTTTTTTTTAATTTAATAGTTTGGCAAACGAGCAGACGGATTACCTGATGGTAAGCAATCAGCGCCGCCCATGGACACTCGCAACGGAGGAGTTACGAGTGCGTTGCCGACCTTTTAGGGATCAGGGATTTAGGAGGGATTGGGGGAGGGGAAGGATTGGGGCTCCGGTAACCTCACTCACACGGCGAAACACAACGCTGTGGTTATTTCACGCCGGTTTTCTGTGAGGCCGTGGTATCACTCCGGTCGAGCCGACCCATTCGTCGGAGCATGGCTCTCTCACACTTAAAATGACTAGTAATCATTGACCAGTTTTATTTGGACCCATGATACCTAATTCTCTTAGGATGAGTGTGTCAACAATATTCTGGTCAACATCTTGATCTGGATGGTGAATTAAATGGAGTAATATCCTTGGCTTGCTGCTGCCTTCCCAATCGCAAAGGTTACATTTGAATAGCGATTTTTTAGTGCCTTGTTTCTTCGTTGCCTTTTCTATACCGTGTATTGTAAAGAGGTGTTCTTGATATATTCTTGAACAAAACATTTTCTTGCATTCCGGACACCTGTGGAAAAAACAATGTTCAAATTGGCCCTGTGCAATAAAGAAAATCTGAATACACGATAATTGGGTAGTTTCCTAGGTCAAAAAAGAGGTAAGTTTGTATGTAGGGGATAATCTTTGGAACCGCTGGTCGGATTGCCAAAATTCTTTCACTGATAGATATCTACAATTATCCTATGTGCTATAGGCTATAAAACATCATGCTACGATCAAATGGAGCCGAGCAGCGGGTGAAACCGTGTGAGAATAGCTAGTCTACTAAATTTGTGATGAATAATATTGATAACATTAAATAACCAATAATAGCGATCATACAATTTACACGCCCCTGTCGTCAGCGCGTGTCTCTGTCACCGACATTTTAAACTTATTTAGAGTCTAGAGCAGAGGTTCCCAAACTTTTTTTCTCATAGACCACTTTAAACATTTTGCTGGATCTGGTGGGCCCCTGCAACTTACTAACTTACTTCCAAAACCCGAAAAAAGTATATGTCTATGTAAATCTGTGTTGTGACTATTTTTCAATCAACTCTGAGTTTTCGAAAAAAAACGTGAGAATTTATATTGCTTTGATTATGCTGTGAGCAAGGCCAGTCTAAAAAGCGTCTTCATCCAACAGATTCCTACTTCACTTTTTTGTATTCTAAGATTGACTCACAGTATAAGAAACCAAAAAGCTCCCACTTCGGAGTGGTAAAAAGTAAAAATAAATATTTTCTTGTTTCGTAACTATTTATTCAAACATAAAAATTAAAACACTTTTAATATGTTGTTATACAAAACTAATAAACATTAGTATTTTAAAAACAGTCGCAATATAATCAAAATTTATAATTTAGATTACATTGCATTTCTTGCAATATAATCAAAATTTTGATATTGAAATTGATTGTCGACAGTACAGTCGACACTTCTTCTTAGATTCACTTTCTTTTTTGAAATTCCCGAAACAACTGAGTGATGTTTATCATTCGCATTCCTACTTATATTAGGGAAAAATCCAAAAAGTTCATGCAAGTTCAGATACGACTTTAACTAGGCGAGCGGGCGGCGCGGAATCGGCGACTCTTGACACACTCTTTCTGAGTATGGAATATGCAAGTTCTTACAAAAACAATTGCTGAGCTTCTTATAATTTTGTCTTCCTATATTCATAGGAGAAGTCAAGTCGGGTCACCTAATACATTTTAATAGACCCCCGTTAACGAGTTGTAAACCCCCATTCTTTTTCCACGCAAGCGTAGACCCCTGTCGGGCTCCCGAGGATCCCTGGGGGTCTAGTGACACGCACCGATCGCTGACAAGCCCTTTGACGAATGCCGCCAAACGCACTATTTTCGACATGATATTGTAACCACCTGTAACAAGGACGGGACGGGACGGGGGGGGGGGGGGGTAAAAAATCACCTTATGAATGGTTCAACAAAGATTTTCTTTAGTGTAGGTCTAAACCATTGAGCCAGTTTTTCTATTTCAAATTAAAGGTAGGTCAGAATTTTTTTTTTGTGAGGGGAAAATCATCAAATGACTTCTCCCGCCCAGGGCTGGGCAGGAGGGAGTGTCAGACTCTTACTCACTAAAAACCCCCCTGTTCCTTCTCCTGCTCTGTGCCGAGGTCGCGGTACCTCATTGCGCTTACCCCGCAACCCCGGCTGAACATCAGCCTGGTTCTGGTCGGGCGGCGAGCTGCCCTTACTCGCCGGCCACAGGCCCGAAAGATAGGTCAGGATAAGATCCAAAATACAATACCTGACTGGGCTGATTTTTCAATAGTCAAAGATAAAAGTTACCTGGGGTATAATTATAATGCTGTCGCGTCAGAATGTTTGTATAAGACAGTGACAGCAACAATTTTATTCTTTACATAACATTTATCTGATTATTGAAAAACCAGCCCTAAATCTTTTAAACCACGCAACGGATTTATATGCAACTTTTTTCAATGGAGTGATTGAAGAGGAAGATTTACATGTATAAAAACACTGATAAAATAAAGCCAAATCCAAACTAATATTATAAAAGCGCAAGTAACTCTTCTGTCTGTCTGTCTTTTTTTAATGCCTAAACTACTGAACCTATTTGTGTGAAATTGGATACAGACATAGTTTGGAACTCGAGAAAGGAGATAGGAGTTTTTAAACCAAAAATCTGCAGAAATCATTATTCCACGCGAACAAAGTCGCGAGCAAAAGCTAGTAAAAACATGAAGGATTTTTAAGTGTGGGAGAGCCAAGCTTCGGCAAAAATGGGTCGGCTCGACCGGAGTGATACCACGGCCCCACAGAAGACCGGCGTGAAACAACCACAGCGTTGTGTTTCGCCGTGTGAGTGAGGATACCGGCCCAATCCCTCCCCCTCCCCTATCCCTTCCCGCTCCTTATACCCGCAAACCCTATCCCCAAAAGGCCGGCAACGCACTCATAACTCCTTTGGTGATGCGAGTGTCCATGGTCGCCACCGATTGCTTACCATCAGGTAATCCGTCTGCTTGTTTGCCGACTGATACCATAAAAAAAGGAAACATACCTTTTCCGACTTTTTCTATGACTGTTGTACTTCTGCACGGAACTGAACTTTAAGAGGCACAGGGAGCATTCTTCTGAGGTGGGTTCATCAGTATGGGAGAGGATATGGTGTTTTAAAGCTCTCGCATGGCGGGCTATGAAACCACATTGATCACACTTGTGTGGGTTATCCGGTCTGTGTATTAATTCATGTTTCTTTGTATTCTTCTTTGACACACTTCTGTAGGGGCAGTGACTGCATTTATAAGGTTTTATGCCTGTAAAGAAGATAAAATTCTGTTATAAACTTCTTTGTTATTCATTTAGATTATCATACAGATTTATATTATTATAAAGAGGTAAAATTTTTAAGTTTGTATGTAGGAGTAATCTTTAGAACCGCTGGTCGGATTGCCAAAATTCTTTCACTGATAGATAGCTACAATGTTCCTGAGTGCTATAGGCTATAGAAAATGTCGCTAAAATCAAATGGAGCCGAGCAGCGCGCGACAGTAGCTAATCCCTAATAAATCACAAGAGGTCGGCAACGCACTTGTAGTAACACCTTTGGTATTACTTGTGTCCATGGGTGGCACTATTTGCTTACCATCAACTAACCAGCTCGTTCGCCGAACTATGATTTAAAAAGTTGTTATCTTCTAGCTGGAAGGGAAGGCTTCCTTCCATTCGCCTCTGACTAAAGCTTTTTGTGACCAATCTTGGTCAATTCGATCCAAGTACAATATTTATTCAATTATTTAAGTACGTTAGTGGGGGAGAGCCATGCTTCAGCACGAATGGTATGGCTCGACCGGAACTATACCAGGGCCTCACAGAAAACTGGCGTGATTTACAACGTTGTTGTTCGCCGCGTGAGTTAAGTGTGGAAGAGCCAAGCTTCGGCACGAATGGGTCGGCTCAACCGGAGTGATACCACGGCCTCACAGAATACCGGCGTGAAACAACCACAGCGTTGTGTTTCGCCGTGTGAGTGAGGTTACCGGAGGCCTCATCCCTCCCCTTCCCCTATCCCTTCCCGATCCTTATATCCGCAACCCCTATCCCCAAAAGGCCGGCAACGCACTCGTAACTCCTTTGGTGTTGCGGGTATCCATGGGCGGCGCCGATTGCTAACTATCAGGTCTGCTCGTTTGCTGTTCTATCACATTTAACACATTTTTTTTCTTAAATTAAAAAAAACATCATAAAAAACAAATTACCTTGATGAATCCTTACATGTTCTTCGAACAGGATTTTGTTATAAGTAGAATAGTCACACATGTAGCATTGAAAAGGATTTTCTCCTCTATGCTTCTTGCGGATGTGACGTAACATTTTTTCTTCCGTCTCGGCTGTGTAGCGATCGCATTCAGGGCAATGGATGCGGCGGGGTTGCCCCACTATAACCTCTTGTTGGGGTTGCCTGTGGGGTAAATAAAAATAATATAATCCTTTTTACAGGATTTATATACGTCCTAATTAGGAGGAGGAGGAAGAGGTCCGACCCTCCCCTCCTGAGCCGTAATACCCTTGTAATGTACACTTCCCTTGTAATGTACACTTCCCTTGTAATGTACACTTATATGTAACACAGACTTTGTGCCGGGCCCGGAATCGAACCCTCTACCCGCGCCACTGGTGAACGTACCGTGCGCCTCAACATCGTCACACGCGCCGCCGCCGGAGATGGCAGCAAACGCGCGTGGTATCCGACAGATGGCGCGTTGGACTCGCCGCAGCGCAACCATCAACAGCGATGCAGGCGCCAACGCTAACCAGTAGGCCAGCCTAGCGCAACTTAGAAGAAAAATAAAAATGTATGGGCTTGGCACGGCAAAAAATGGCACACGGAAGTAGCCGGATATTGCCATCCCACTCCCTCAGTACAGTTCTCTTTCTTTCACTAATCCGTCGGCCATTTTGTTTGAAGTTTTGAACTTTGAATGTCGTTGCTTTTGTAAGTTTATGTTGTTATTTTCATAATTTCATAAATTTACGTATAATTTGTTTAGTTAATTAGTGGTTAGTGACACGGCTGTGACTAGTTACGTGTTCAAGTAAAATGCCACCAAAAAAACGGTTTCTAACTTGTGAAATCTGCGGAGGACGATCCGGTCGTAAAAATGGCGAGAAAAGGATGTTTATGGCGAAATTTCCTTTGGATGAGGACCGGTAAGCATTAAATGATATAATTTTATTTAATTCTAAGTATAAAAGGCTACAAATACATGTAAATTGATTTTCATGTACTTATTGTGTACTAGTGATGTACCTCAAGTATCGATAGTCACAGACTTATGTGTGGGCTAAACTCCAAAGATCCCTTGATTTATTTATTCTTTCGTGATTTACTTTCCAGACCACACCAAAGAAGTAATGATGTTATTAGATGTTGTTGAACAAAGTTGTGACACAACAAACCCAGTAGATTTTAAGAAATTAATGATTAAACGTAGATAAAAATTTATGTATACTGTATTCGTAAAATTTATGCATTTATTTTATAAGGAACGCCAGCTGTTTACACAATTTAGAGTTATTCATGTCAGGGACTGTCCATTTTGAATTTTTCCATTTTTCAGGTGCCGGCAGTGGGTGAAAGTTGTTGGCAAAGAAGATTTAGTGTATGTGCCCATAGAACCAATTTACTGAACCAATATATGTATTAAGTATTAGAGTCCACCTAATTTAAATAATTTTAGTTAGGTCCTTAACACACCGTCCGTATATAACATGAATTTGAATATTATTACAAAAATATATTTTTTAGTTTTTAATACAACACAATGTTTTATTTCAAATCCGAACTATATCTTAGAGATCGAAACTAAAAATTAAAAAAGTAATATGACCTCGATTTCTACCCTATAAATATTATCGATATCGATACTAAACCTAGTATACAGCTACCACAGAACTATTTGGTCTTTTAGGTTGGTACTATTGATTTTGACGGCTGACATCTTTTATTTATTGCAATGTAGGTATTAGAGTGCCGTGTAAGTTGATTCCACTGGCTTGTATGGGAGTCCCGTCTCTTAAACGTAGTGGTTACATACTCTTTGCAGTAGGCTGCGCGACGTCGCCGCGTCCGCGCACGCTGCTCATGAGGAAGAACCCCTCTGTGGTTCGAAACTAGTACAGCTTTTCTCAACATGTAGGTACACGTGAGTAACCCGCGAATTTTAGTTAATTTAGTATGTCTCACGATAGTTATTATAAAAACATGTACACTTCCACTGAGATTAAATATTAGTCCGTAATAGATTAGGTTATAAGCACTGATATCGGCTCGCAGCGAGCGTCCACGTCTTCTCCCCACGGCGGTCGGTTCGAACTACCCCGTAGCATTTACCCCACCCTGTGACTACGCTTGTGCGCTGCTCGAGACGACAGAGCTACCTAGCTACTACTAGAAATGTCTATACACTTTTTTTTTTTTTTTTGTGAGGGGAAAATCATCAAATGACTTCTCCCGCCCAGGGTCAGGCGGGAGGGAGTGTCAGACTCTTACTGACTAAAAACCCCCCTGTTCCTACTCCTGCTCTAGGCTGAGGTCGCGGTGCCTCATTGCGCTTACCCCGGTTGAACATCAGCCCTATAGGGCCCCGTCTGTCTATACACTACAACCCTTACCTGAAATTCTGGGTGATCCATGAAAATAAACTATTTCATGGTCTGATCATGATGGTAAGTGATAAGTGATTGGCACCATTCATGGACATCTGTGGCATCAGAGGAGTCACAGGCTCGCTGGCAGCCTTTTAAGAAGGAGTACGCTCGTTTCTTGAATGTTTCAGAGTCGTATCCGTTCGGAAATATTGCCGGAGGAAGATCATCTCAAAGTTTTGATATGGAAAAATAGAAACGGTAGGTGGCAGCACTGTTTTCAGCGGAGGTTGCGGGGCAAACGCAATGAGGCGCCGCGTCCTCGGCCAAGAACAGGAGAAGGAACGGTCCTTGTTCTAAATTCTCAAAGTCTTCTCACGGCTTCAGGATAAGGGATGGGGAGGTTTTTAGTCAGTAAGAGTCTGACACTCCCTCACTCACCTTACCCTGGGTACGGCGCGTAGCGTTCAGCGGCAAAGAGCCAAGAGACCACCACAGACGGGGCCCTATAGGGCTGATGTTCAGCCGGGGTTGCGGGGTAAGCGCAATGAGGCACCGCGACCTCTGCACAGAGCAGGAGAAGGAACAGGGGGGTTTTAAGTCAGTAAGAGCCAGACACTTCCTCTCGCCCGGCCTTGGGCGAGAGAAGTCATTTTTTTTTTTTATGTAATATGTCGGCAAACGAGCAGACGGATTACCTGATGGTAAGCAATCAGCGCCGCCCATGGACACTCGCAACAGAGGAGTTACGAGTGCGTTGCCGACCTTTTAGGGATTAGGGATTTGGAGATTTAGGGATTGAGGAGGGATTGGGGAAGGGGAAGGATTGGGCCTCCGGTAACCTCACTCACACGGCGAAACACAACGCTGTGGTTATTTCACGCCGGTTTTCTGTGAGGCCGTGGTATCACTCCGGTCGAGCCGACCCATTCGTGCCGAAGCATGGCTCTCCCACACTTATGGTTTTCCTCATTTGATGATTTTCCACTGATGCCATGATAAATGCCCATTATATCAAGTGATAATTTGTCCAATATAAACTGACACGCCATAAATGAACATTTGTAACAAAAAAAATAAAGACTTACTCCTCTAGTTCCTCAACAACTACATCTTTTTGTTCCTCTGTAGTGTCAGCGATCACAAATTGTGAAGAGGAAGCCACGTCTATGAACACTGTGTTTGTTGCTTCTGCCATTGCATCTGAAACTGTAAAGATAAAGGTATTTATTGCGCAAATACGGGTATAAATCTAGATAACAATTTTTAACAAACCATAGTATATTTCGATATGTCGTGGTGGCCCGGAGGTTAATGCGCCCGCCTCTTATGCATGAGGGTGCAGGTTCGAAACCGGGCAAGTACCAATATGACTCTTTCCGAGTTATATGTACTTTCTATGATTATGTAGACACCACTGACATACGGTGAAGGAAAACATCGTGAGGAAATCTGAACTAATAATTTCTAATTATAAGTTTGAAATTGCCAACCCGCATTGAGCAAGCGTGGTAATTAATGCTCAAACCTTCTCCGTGTGAGAAGAGGCCTTTGCTCAGCAGTGGGCACTTATATGCTGATGATGATGATGAGTACATTTCTAGATTAAAAATGTAAATGAAAACCATATACAGCATAAAAACAGATTAATAACAATAAAACTCAATAGCAATTTACATAAACTAAAGTAGATTAACAATCATATTATATAAAATTCTTTTTCATTTAGAAACTCATTTATCTATACTATCTATACTATTATAAAGAGGTAAAAAAAAACATCAACATCACAAACAAACAACATCAACAAAAATCTACAAGTACACCATACGCCATTGCTGAGCAACGGTGTCTTAATAATCATAGAAGCTAAATCCATAGGTACTTCTATACTAATATTATAAAGAGGTAAAATTTGTAAGTTTGTATGTAGGGGGTAATCTTTGGAACCGCTGGTCGGATTGCCAAAATTATTTCACTGATAGATAGCTACAATGTTCCTGAGTGCTATAGGCTATAAAACATCACGCTACGATTAAATTGAGCAGGTTAAACCGTGCAAGAGAAGCTATGTTATAATACTGTCAAGAAAATAAAGCCTACTCTTTCCCCCCTCTCCCCATTTCCAATCTATAATACACATGTTCTTAACACTCAAAAGCTTAGATGCAAAACTCTTCAATGTTAGGTTATGGATTTATGGCCTACTAGCTTTGGCCTGCATCTTTGTTTGCATGGAATAGTGACATCTGCAGATTTTTGGTTTAAAAACTATCCTATGTCCTTTCTCGAGTTCCAAACTATGTCTGTACCAAATTTCACACAAATAGGTTCAGTTGTTTAGGCGTGAAGATAAGACAGACAAACAGACAGAGTTACATTCACATAATATTAGTATGGATCGGATAGGTGGTTAACTAAAGGTAAAAAATCTTGGTATATCCTTTTTTTATGAAAGAGGTTGTATAAAATACATACAAGAATATTTAAATTTAGTTATCATCGATTTCGGTAAATCTATATCTATACTAATATTATAAAGAGGTAAAATTTGTAAGTTTGTATGTAGGGGGTAATCTTTGGAACCACTGGTCGGATTGCCAAAATTCTTTCACTGATAGATAGCTACAATGTTCCTGAGTGCTATAGGCTATAAAATATCACGCTATGATCAAATAGAGCTGAACATTGGGTGAAACCGCGCGAGATTAGATAGTATCTGAATGTAAACATTTAACATTGAAGTTTAAGACAACTTGAATAAAAAGACATGCTTAGATTGTTTACATTTAGTTAATTACCTACCTAAACCGATAAAACATTGTTACTTCTAGCGTAGTCGGTGTTAATAAACAACGCTGATTGCCTACCATTAATTACAGTCATCCATAAGCTCATTTGCCGATCGTTTACATATAAAGTCAAAGGATGTACTTATTACCATTTAAATAGGTATTTTTAAAAAAAATATAATAGATTGAATTAATATAACAATATAACAAAACTGGATTGAGACCACTACGTCTATTAAAAGTCTGTAAAGGCAATTCAATTGGATTTGCTACAAAATAATAAGTTACCTCTTTTAAATAAACATACGTTACCTTAAAACGTTTTGATAAAACTATAAAAATCAAATATGATCCTTATTAGATTATTGATCTTAAGTTATGTTTTATTTATGCTTAAATTAAGTGCTTACTTATTTAGTTTAGATCACGGTTAAGATTCTGTAAATAAAATCAAAAAAGAAAAACAACCACAATACTACGAAAAAACAATACAAATTGCTGACATTGACATTAAAATCCACAGATGTCACTCAACTGTGTGTTGTGTGTGTTGAATTATGAAAATCGACTAAAATTCTAAAAGATTCACCGATTGAAATTCTGATCTGATAAACTAAGTTAACTTCAACTTACAAGACATGAGCTGATTTATGTTGGTGACTTCAAAGTCGGAAATTAATAGCGTATCGTAGCACTTGTGTATCTTGTCGCCAGAAACCTGTCTTTTTCATAGATCTATCAGGTTAGATACCTACGATTGTTTTAAGTGATACAAACCAGCAGGTGGATTGCCTAATGGTAATCAATATACTGAAATTTATTTCTTGAACTGAAATGTATTTATACCTCTAATAAATTTTAGATGTGTCCCCAAAAACTGAGAAAATAAGTTTGTACATCGAAAGGAATTTCATATATTTTTATGGTTATTCATGATAGAAAGAAGCGGCGGTTGTGGATTTTTTCATCAATGGAATGTTGTTGCCGCCATTTAGAAAATTTCTTTGATAAATACCTGCAAAAGAAGTCCGTTAATCATAACTGTTGGGGCTTTATGGTCTTACAAGGGCCTTAACGTACGAAAACGAAAAGTCTGCGATTGAATTGCCAACTTGATTTGGCGTCAACCTTAACAGGGATACCTTCAATGACGTTGTGGTTTGAAATAGCGAAGCAGTTTATTTAAGGTCGATAATTAAATCGCAATAAAATTTTACTTATAGGAGGACTTCTGTTTGTTGGAGGAGATCTAATCAAAATTTTTTTTTGAACTGCAATTTGTTTGTGCAAGTTGTTCTAATAATGCTTCCTATTGGTTAGTTTTATTGAGTAAGTTGTCGCAAGAACAACTGCTAAGCATGTTGGCGACTCTGGCTATACAGGTAGATAATTGAGGTATGTATTTATTTATTTTGGTACTTATAGCAAGCCACCTTTTTGTGAGGGAAAAATCATCAAATGACATCTCTCGCCCAGGGTAAGGCGAGAGGGAGTGTAAGAATCTTACTGGCGAAAACCCCTCCCGTTCCTTGTCCTGCTCCAGGCCGCGGCCGTGGTACAATTTGCGCTTGACTCGCAACCCCAGTATTACCATTTACTGGACTTCAAAGTTTAAGCATTTTTGTCTCAATTTGATCATGAATGACACTTTTGAATGTCAGTTACCTTTTCTCACCTAATCTTTCTAAACGATATCAACAATAAATGTACAGAGTAGTGAAAAGTGGCTTTTGTCTATAGGTTAGGGTCTATAGGTTAACCTAATGTAAACCATTTTGGCATGTCTTTTTTTATATTTACTTAAATATAAAAAAAAGACATGCTTAAAAATTGTATATAAATGTTCACAGTAAGGTATTTACCTAAATCGATATTAGCTAATAAAGTAATTTAAATAATCTAAGTGTATTTTTTTACCGACCTCTTTATTATAAAAAGACATACCTACAGATAACATCGCACGCGTAACTCCTCCGTTGCGAGTGTCCATGGGCGGCGCTGATTGCTTACCGTCAGGTCGTTTGCCGACCTATCACACAAAAAAAAACAATGTATTGTAAATCAATGAATTATTTTAATATTGACAAATAGTTACAGCAGTAAATGACTATATAAAATCGGCAGGATTATAAGGGTGTTCCCTTTGCATTTTACCATAAGCCTCGTGATAATCAGCGTAATCTGGATTTTTTACAAACGTGTATATTTTGTCTCCTTCTTTTCTATACATCATCGGATTAGTTGTACTTTGCATAATTACTAGTTCATCTTCTTTTGACCTCTGATCGCCATTGTTTTCAGCTGATTCACCTTCTATAAAGCGATTGTTATATTCGTCTTCAATATTCTTATATGGCTCAATGTTAACTTTGCTGGGATCTAGCTTGGTTCTTTGTACACTTTGCATGTGATGCTTAGGCACTTCTAGTTCTAATTCCTCCGAACTTTCATCCTCTTCCCTAATCTCTTTCTCTAGCTGTTTCTCATATTCTTTAACTTTCTTTTCTGTATCTTGTTTTCGCCCCTCTTTAGTATCATATATCTGATCTGGCTCTTCCTCAGCCCTGAAATCTATATAATCTAATTCTTTCGGTTTCTTTTTTTCTTTAGGGGGCTCCTTCTTCTTTTCTTTTTCTGTCTTTTCCTTTACTTTTGTGGGTTCCTCATCTTTTTCTTTTTCGGGGTCTTTCTTTTCTTTCTCAGCTTCTTCTGTAGTTACTTCGTCAGGTTTCACTTTCTTTTCTTCTTCTTTGGGCTTTTTGTCTACTTCCACTTTCTTGTTTTCGTCTCGGAGCTTCTTTTCGAAATCTTCTTTCTGTTTTGCAATTTTTTCCAATCTCATTTGTTCCTGTTTTTCAAATAATTCTGCTTCTTGTTGCATTTGACTTTCATATATTTCTTTCTCTTTTACCAATTTGTTTAACCTCTCTTCTTCCTGTTTTTCTTGCAACAGTGATTGTTCTTTCAGTTGACTCTCATATCTTTCTTTTTCTTTAAACATTTCATTTAACTTATCATTTTGCCATTTTTCCAAGTCCTTATGTTGCTCTTTTAATTCTTCATTAATTTTTATCCTTTCTTTTTCCCAATATTGTAATCTTTCCTTTATTTCTCTGTCCCGTTTTTCCGATTCTTCTTTTAACATCTTTTCAAATTCTTTTCGTTCTTTTACCCATTTATCTTCCTGCGCAAGTTCAATTTTTGTAGAATTTTCTGCTCCTTCTCGTAGTTTCTTTTCCAACTTCTCTCTTGGTATTTCAAGTATGTTTTTTTCTACTCCAAATATGAATAATTCTCTAGGCTTATCCTCATCATAATCTTCCTTATCGTAGTTTCTAATAAAAGGAAGGCGTTTTCGTTCGGCTCTTTCATACATTTCTGCTGCTTGTCGTAATCTATCTTCTTCCTTTAGTCTGTTTCTTAAAATTTTTTCTGCCCATTCACGTTCTATTTTTCCCTTTTCTTTCCTATGTTGTCTGAGATTTCCGTATAGTTTTCCAGATTTTTTAAATTGTTGTTCTTTTTTTGGTATTTTTTTTAATTTTCTACCTGGTACATTTCTTATGTTCCTTCCAAATTCAGCACTCTTTGTCTGACTTCGTTCATCGTCTGATATCTGAGATCTAAAATGCGCAATATCAGTCATGTTATTATAGTTAGCATAATCTTTTTGTGCGGTGTTATTCATATTAGTGGTGGTATTTTCCGCTTTCAAGTGCGTGGTGGTAGTCTCTCGCACGTTATTTAGGTCTTTTATATGATCGATTTCTACATGATTTATCTCTTTGAATTTGCCTGAAGTGTCGTTATGCTTTCCTGCACTTATTTCCGCTGATGCGTTGTTATGTGCGTGATCTTGTATGACGCTATAAGCTTTGCTCTTAAAATTTGGTTTGGAATAATGTTCTTCCTTTGAGTGAGTTTCATTTTTCACGTTGTCTTCGACATGTGGATAAGAACGCGTTGATTCCATATGGTTTTGTTGAAAATTTTGTACCTTTGTATATTCCTGATCGATTTTTCCATTCTTATAATGCACATCACCAACTTTATCATTGTGATGGTTTTCATAATTCCCGTGGCTTCCCTTCGATTCTTTTTGATTCTGTTTAGTTTCATTTTGGGCTTCTTTAGGATTGACGTTCGCTAAAGAATGGCCGTCATTATCATCTTTCTTTTTATTAGGAATCTCGATCTTACTATTTTTTTTCGCGTTCCTTGTAATGTATGTGTATTTAAGTGTAAGATTTTCGTTTGGTGATAACTCACCATCCTTGAGTAATATACTCGGGTAAAACTTTCGATACTCCTTACTTTGCTTGTCATCATCACGTAATTTGGAATCCATTAATTCAGTCTGCATGTGATCGTCTTTCAATAGTTCTGTGTCGGCATTTTTGCTCCGTCTCATCGTCACAATGTCTGTTAGCGATGGATCAATTTTTTTTATTTTATACGCAGCTTTATTCGCGAACAATTCGGTGAGTTCATCGAATTTCTGAGATGCGAGCAGTTGAGAAATAAATCCGTCAACGTCGTATGTTTTTGTTGATACCTTCCGTGGCATTGGGATCGTAGATATTTTCGAGTTACAAATGTATATAAAAACTGCAAAGAAAATAAGTTTTTGTAGGTTATAAGAATATTCACTTTAAATGATACCTATACAGGGTGTAAAAAGACACTTAACGAAGCCGAAAGCCACGTATTCTACCCATTATTTGGATCATTTTTTTCTTTAAGACCATAGCTGGGACTCCACGGGTTCTCGAGATATTGAAGGTCAAAGATGCATTTTTTTTGCGCAGTCGAATTCTAAGTATTATAACAAAACTTTTTTCCAAACAAATATTACCTGAAATTTCGATTTTTCTAAATAAATTACGCATTTGAAGTTACGAACAGTAATGTACGTAATAAATAAATGCAGACCCGCACAAAAAACATCGTGCATCTCAGTAGGATTTTTATTTTACAGAATTGTTTTGTTGTTGCGAAGTAAAACGTCGACCTACGTACTTATCACAGCGTTTTAATGCTAAGCTGTGAACCTACGCACACAATGACACGAAGCCCGTTTGTTTTACATTGCGCGCATTAAATTAATAAAATTTTTTAAAAGTCGTTTCCCATTGATAATTTTAGCGTAAAGCTACTTAGTTAGAACTGCATATTGCGTAGTTAACGGCTTCGTTAAGTGTCTTTTTACACTCTGTATAATAATATATATTATGTCCTCCACCGTGCAAACTATTATACAAATGTTGGTGTATGATGAACCATAAACAATTAAACTATGAACCTAACGAAATTATATAAATTGTGATAACTGGTTAGGTAATAAATAACTAATGATCACGTATCATATAAAGAAATTTATTCAATAATTCTAAGTCAACAGCTCAGTTGGTTCTACACTTAAATCAGATTTTGATTTAAATTCTGGGTTTTTTAATAATTATAAAAACTAAAGTAGCATAGGTACTATAACATAAAACACACTAGATAATTTATAGTAACATCTTTTAACCAACAAAGGGGTTTGTAGAAAAACACAAACAATTTATCGTTTACTTTCCACCATATAAGATTTAAGTAGGTACCTATAACTTCTTAACTTTTAAATCCATTATAAAAGCACTATCTCAACTGGATATATCTCAATAAGGATTTATTAGTAACTTTTTGCACTTGTGATAGGTAACTCAAACAACAAAGAATAATAATTCTTTAAATATGATTATTTTGAAACTATTTCATTAACATGGCTCGCATTATCATGTATAAATAACAAAAGTAAAGTAAATCTGTGTAGCTACATACTTACAGAAATAAAATGAAATCACATTGTACATTGTTTTGGTAACCTATTATGACTTGTAATAAAACTTTAAATTTTCGTTACACGATCCAAAGCACATAAAAATAAACAATATCAGTAAAATTATATTTATTTTTGCGATAAGTACAGTTTACTTGTGACGTTAAGGCAGTTTCATCTTACGAGGTTGTTTAAAAAATATGCATGCAACTACATTTATTTAGATAATTGGGTACATACATACAAATTTCCAAAATACTATTCTGTCATAAAATATACCTATCATGCCTTCCGTTTATAGATTATTTTTTTGATTATCAATTTTGTTCATTGTCAATCTCGAATTCAATTAGATACCTACCAAGTATATTTATTAATATTTTGACAACTGACTAAAATACTAAATTTGAAGGAACAACACTATTGGCGGCTTATTTCAATTCCATATTATTTTCTACCCGTAGTTACGAATTATTAATTCTTGATACTATTTACGGAAAGTGAATAATTTAAGTGTATTTATATAAGAAATATTAATTAACAAGATTAATTCTCCGAGTGCGACTCTTTAATTATTTGCACTTATTCACGACACGATGTCGATACCCGCATTGAGGCAGCCAAAAACCATTGAAGAGAAAATACCGACTTACAACGAGCCCCAAAATTTTCTGATCGTTACTTTGAACGATGGAAAGAAGCTGGTCGTGTCCTCAGATGCTTACCACGGGATCCTAGCGACAGGGCAGCTAAACAGATGTGTGTTTTGTGAGACAGAAATGGTGCGAGATGTTATTTGCAAGGAAAGACACAAGGCTTCTGAAAATCATCGAAAGATCCTTGAGGGCTACCCGCATATTGATGAATTCAAAGAAAATCTACTTCGAAAGGTTCGTTTTGTGTGAATTGTTGAGATAGATTATGTTAGCTAATCTTTCTTTATAAACTTGTTGATTACGATCATGTTAGTAATTAGCCAATATTTCTAACTGGACCTGTCCAAAGATATGGTGTAGTATTTTAGCGAACGAGCACACAGACCACCTATTGGTAAGCAAACTGCGCTGCCCATGGACACTTGCAACATTAAAATAGTGACAAATGTTCTGCTGGTGGGTTATTAGGGATGTAAGAAAAGGAAATTTGGGAATTGAGGATGTGAGGACGAAGGATTAGGTCTCCGACTACCTCACTCACATGGTGAAACTCACAAAAAGTGTTGTCTCAAGGTGGGTTTCTGTAAAGCTGTGGTATGAGTCCGGGCTAGTCTTTCCACACTCTGTTCAGTGGTGGTCAGACACAAACAGGGGTCAAGCACAGGACGGCTTTACATGCACACATATCTGATCTATTAAATTAACAAAGAACTGATTAATAACAGTAACAATTGTTTATGGCTATTTTCTCCATACGGTTAAGTGTGAGAAAGCTAGATTTGGTATGAATGACTTGACTTAAGTAATATAATGGACTTAGATAATTATACTTAAAAAAAAAACAGTTTTGTAGACACACACTAATGCTATGTTTTTTTTTTCTTCACAGCTCAACGCAGCTAATTATTACTGCACTATTTGCAATGATGTGGTAATGATGCATTATGCCAGAAGACATATACAAGAAAGCAGTCATCACCAAGAATTGTGCAAGGCAAAAGCTAGAGCGCTCTCATATAAACCTTACAACTGAATTAAATGTTTACAATTAGCGCTGATTTTTCAATAGTCAGATAAATGTTATCTGTGGAATAAAATTGTTGCTGTCACTGTCTTATAAAAACATTCTGACGCGACAGCATCATAATTATTTCCCAGGTAACTTTTAACTGACTATTGAAAAATCACCCCTTTTATGTTATTTGGTATGCAGGCAAAAAAATACAGATTGATTCAACTCGGAGACAGTAGCTTTTGTTAGGTGCTGTTTGACCTATGGTAACTAAACATAATCCCCCTTATTACAAAACAAGATTTATCTTTAGTCCAGGTTTAAACCATTGAGTCGGGTTTTGAATTTTGAATCTTATTGTCATCCACCTTCAATTTGAAATACAAAAACTGGCTCTATGGTTTAGTCCTAAAGTAAAACCTTGTTTTGTAATAAGGCCGATAGAGTAACTGGTAATTAGTGACCGATATTTAAATCGTTTTTTTTTTGGTCACGGGATAATGACTTCTCCCGCCCCAGGTTCGGGTGGGAGGGCACCATGGCCTCGACTAAGGCCGGGTGCGAGGGGTCGCCGTCGCCGATCACTTCCCTTAGGACATGGCAGTGAACCCAAGCAGAGTACACCGAGGACATGGCGGTGATCCCAAGCAGAGTACACCGCCACCGTATCCTCTAGGTGGTCCTCACAATGACGACGGTCGGGCGTTTTCTCCCGCTGGATCCGAAGCAGAAGCCTACCGGCCCTCGGTTGCGGTTGCGACAGTCGTTGCTTCCACTCTGCCATGAGATCTCGCCGAAGCTCCTTCCGCCACGCACTAATTTGGCGCGGCAGAGGATCCTTGCTCCGGCAACGCATGTCGTCTGTAGACGCGCATGAGCGCCTTCGCTTCCAGATCCCACGGCGGTGATCCGGCAAGGAGGCCGCCTACCCGGAGATCTTGCGGTATCCGCGGATTATTAGCCACGATAACAAACAATTTTCCCAAAGGAACTTTTTTCTATACACATTTTTTAAATTTCGCGCGCCCGCCATACTTCGCCCGATCAGCTGTTAGCGTAGACGCCGCCATTATTTTGTTATGTTTAAATAGTAATAAAAATAAAACTAATGAGTACCTATCTATAGAAAAAAAAATATTATTAAAAAAACAAAATACCCGACTGCACACTAAAAAAAGAGTAAAACAAGCCCCACAATACAAATTTACTGAATATAATTTATAAATGTTGATGGAAAGCATCGCAGGCGGGGACCAACAGAGGCTTATTTATAGTTATTTCTGTTGTGCACCATTTAGCAGAATTTTCGTTGGTGGCGGTCAAGGTGGTCCCCGCCTGCGATGCTTTCCATCAACATTTATAAATTATATTCAGTAAATTTGTATTGTGGGGCTTGTTTTACTCTTTTTTTAGTGTGCAGTCGGGTATTTTGTTTTTTTAATAATAATTTTTTTATTTATAACTTTTTAGCTGTTTTTTTAAAGGGAAATTTAGAAAAAATATTATTATTTCTTTATCCCGTGGGACTTTTAGGATAAAATGTATCCTATGACACTCCCGTAATCAAGACAAATCTAACGATACCTCATACATCAAAATCCATCAAGCCGTTTAGGCTACAGGAGGTCACAAAGGAAAAGACATACATACATACTTACATACACTCGAAAAACATTACCCTCCTTCTTTGGCAGTCGGGTAAAAAAGTTTCTTTGCGAAAGTTTTTTCTTATCACAAATACAATCACGGGTTTAAATATCGGTAACTAATTATCAGTTATATAGTCTATATAAAAATAAAAATAGTTGAAGCCGACATTTCCTATTTTAATAACTGAGAATAGAAAATACAAAATAATTTATTTTCGTTCTAGGTAACTAGGTAGGTACCTACCCAATTGTCAAGTATTCGATTGTCACTTATTTTGTTATATTTATTTTTACGAAACTCAATCTTGCGTCATAATTTATCTGTCGACTAGCGACCCGCCCTGGTTTCGCCCGGGTGCAATGCTAATACTAAATTTCTTCACTATTGAATGCATGTTATTATTAATATAAACCTTCCTCTTCAATCAC